ACCACGGATGATCTCGCCCAGCGGCTTCACATAAATGTTGAACAGGAGAGGCGAGAGGACCGACCCTTGCGGCACCCCACATATGAGGGGCCTCGGGGTCGACCTCTGTCCCCCTGTCAACACAGACTGCGACCGGTCAGAGAGAAAGGAGGAGAACCACCGCAACACAGTGCCTCCCACCCCCAACTCTTCCAACCGGTGCAGCATGATACCATGGTCGATGGTATCAAAAGCCGCTGAGAGATCTAACAGGACCAGGACAGAGGAGCACCCCCTGTCCCGAGCCCTCCAGAGATCATCAACCAACGCGACCAATGCCGTTTCCGTGCTGTACCCGGGCCTGAAGCCCGACTGGAACGGATCCAGATACGTCGTTTCATCCAGGTGCTGGGGGAGCTGTTGCGCGACCACACTCTCAACAACCTTCGCAACAAAGCGAAGATTGGAGACCGGACGATAATTTACCAACATTGCCGGGTCCAGGGAAGGCTTCTTGAGGAGAGGCCTCACCACCGCCTCTTTCAAGGCGGCGGGAAAGTCACCCTCACTCAGCGAAGCATTTATAATCCCCTGGAGCCAGCCTCGTGTCACTTCCCGGGAAGCCAGTACTAACCAGGAAGGACATGGGTCCAATAAACAAGTGGTCGCGTTCAGTCTACCCAGAGTCCTGTCCACGTCCTCAGGGGTCACAGGATCAAACTCATCCCAGATAACATTCTCAAGACCTGCCCCTGTCTCTCCCCCTGAGACTACCCAGTCGGAGTCCAAATCTTCCCGAATCTGAGTGATTTTGTCATACAGATACTGAACAAAATCCTCGGCTCTACCCTCCAAGGGGTCCTCCCGCGCTTCCTGGTGGAGCAGGGAGCGGGTCACCCTAAAGAGGGCAGCCGGGCGATTATCTGATGACGCAATAAGAGCAGCAAAATAACTACATTTCACTGCTTTTATCGCCACTAAGTAATTCCTAATGTGGGATCTTACTAGTGTCCGGTCAGATTCAGGAAGACTGGCCCTCCAACTACTCTCTAGGCGTCTTTTCCGGCGCTTCAACTCCCTCAGCTCCTCGGTAAACCAAGGAGCCAATTGAGATCGGCGCCGGGTCAGAGGCCGCAAAGGCACGACCCGATCCAGAGCACCAGCAGCCGCCCTATCCCAGGCGGCCACCAGGTCTCCAGTCGAGGCGTGTGCCAGAACCTCAGGAAATGGCCCAAGCTCCGTCTGGAATCTGTCAGGATATGAAGGATAGGATAGGACAGGATAGTGGAATCCCTTCTCTAAAAGGAAAAGGAATTACTCCAAGAAGAATGGTTATACTAAAGAGAGATTTAGTGGCTATATGTTTTATATTAATCAGTTAATAACATCTTCTCAAAAATATATTACCCCGGAAATTCAAATTTCCTAGCAATTTTCTTTCTCTTGAAGTTTGTAAGATGACATGACTTGCTTTATTTGAACTATTTGAATTTCTTTAATCCAGCAAAGTTTACTTCATTCACTCAATTTGTTTGTGGAATTTTATGACATATATAATCTTCAAAGAAAACATTGAAGCATTTGATTTACAACATTCCTAACATCAATATAAAGGAACACAAATATTTGTATTTTCTTCCCTTTTTTTCAGATTAAGAAAAAGGACCAATACAGGCAATGCTATCAGACGAATTCCATAAAAGCTTATAAGCCTTTGTATTCAACAACTTAAAAATAATTGTACTCACATGACAACTTAAAACTTATTGCAATTGTTATTTATCTAATAGCATTCTTTATAAGTTTATTTTTCACTACCACATAGTTTTCATTACCAATTGCCACATTTTAATTTTTTTTATTTATAAAGTATTTTTTAAAGAAAAAATTAAGACTAAATTAATCCACTTGTACTATCTTTTATCTAATAATGTATGTTATGTGAATTGACCCATTTGTAAACAATAATATCCCAACCAATTGTGGCTTATTTAACAATCCACTAAAAACCTGTGAATTAAAGTCATTTTGATGGACCTAGATTAATAATGGTATAGGAATATTGAGATCTTTCTTCAATGATCCGATAAATTTTTAAAACTTTCTAAATTAAAACATTGAATGAAATTCAGGAAATCCTCAATTTACAACCACAACTGAGCCCAAAATTTTTCTTGCTAAGCAAGACTTGTTAAGTGAGTTTTGCCCTATTTTATGATCTTTCTTGCCACAGTTGTTAAGCGAATCATTGCAGTTGTTAAATTAATAACATAGTTGTTAAGTGAATTTGGTTCCTCATTGATTTTACTTATCAAAAGGTCACAAAATATGATCACATGAACCCACAATCCTCATAAATATGAATCAGTTGCCAAGTGTTTGAATTTTGATCACGTGACCAGGGGATGTTGTAACGGTCATAAATGTGAAAAATGGTCATTCACTTTTTTAAGTGCTGTTGTCATTTTCAGTCATTAACAGTCACTAAATGAACTGTTGTATGTCAAGGATTACCTGTAATACATCTTATTTATCAATGTCTGGCAATCTTTTTGATACAGAGCATAATATATTTGATGATGCAGTGTCTCGTTATAAATTTTTTACAGTAGAATGCTTTGTAAGTACAACATTAAATAGGTAATATTACTAAATCAACTTAATGGGGATTGTCAACAATATCGTTTACCTCCCACAGTAACACTGACATGTTTTGAAAGTATTAACAAGAATATAAACAACATGCTCTGTTAAATGCAAGCATAAATATTCCACATGGTTACATTTTTTTAAAAAAAGGGAGAATTTTCTTTGATCATTACGGAAATGCTGACTATAAACTGAAACTCACAGCATAAATTCAGCCTAACTAGAATGCCTGCAGTGTTCTTCCGTATTTAATTTTAAGAGTCTGTCGATGCAAAAATAATCACTTGCACACATTCAGACTTTTTTTGCCCTACTTGTTTGCATGGGGATCTCCAGAATTTCCATATCTTTTAAAATCTTAGTTAGTCTAATAAAAATATTCTAATATGGAAGTTAGTAATATAATAGCTAAAAGAAAGAAGACAAGAGGAATACAGTAACTATTTCAGGTATTATAGACCAGTACTAAGAGGAATTATTTTTGTTATTCACTGCATTGGTATAAAAACCTGAACAGAAGGGACAGTCCCTCATCTGAAAACTCTGTGCCCTAATCCCAGACATGGAAATGCATCATAAAAACAATTACTGTGCTTGTAATATAGAGCTAGTATATTATTTAACTAGTTAATATAAGAATGTTAATTTAACACGTGTTTTAGAATTTAAGAATTCATTAATTAATTTTTAAGATTATGAAAGGCCAATATTAAGCAGATATTAACTACAGTAAATTCTCCTATTACTTTCCATACAGTAGAGCATAAAAATCATATCTCATTTAGTTTACCCCCCAATTTGAAGTCTTATTAGTTCTTGCTCTGTTTTGTTCACTAGTAGTCCATTTTAAAATTAGGATCTTTATGATGTGCAACATGTATCACATTTCTTATGTAGTGTTTGATTGACAAAAAAAAAGACATAATCTGTTTATTGACAGAATGATTTTATGTTGAGTTGGCATTGGTTTAGGATGTTGACATGACTTTTAAAAATATGTTTATAATGACTACTATAGTCAGATGCTAACCCAAGCACGACTAAGTAAATATGGTATTTTATTACTCACATACATGAAGAGAAAATTATACATAATTGCTGAACCTGTCTGGCATATTGTCCATAAGTACAATCTTGGTAGAGGAATTTAACAAGTCATATTTTATTTCCTGTATTCACTCTCAGCTTGCTTTCCATATTCTCGTTTCAATATACAATACTGATTAGAATATGAGATTCTAGATATTAGAAGATGAACATAAATTTCTCACAAGACTGCCCATAACTATAAGATCAGGATGTAGTGTGCTATATTCATAGAATGTGTATTCGAATTATCAGCAACCTGATTTGTCTGGATGTAATACACAACACACACACACACAAACACACACAGAGAGAGATAGAGAGCCAGTAGTCATTAAAACCTCTGCTAACAGCATGCCGGGACTCTGACAGCTGCTCTCTTTGTTTTGCTTTGCAGTGCCCTCCCCCACCATCATGCTGACCTATATGAGCAGCTTTGCATTGCTTTTTTTTCCAGGCTTTCATCAAGTAGGAGCAAAGAAAATTCTAGCTTGAGCAAGAAGCCAAAGCAATGCTGGTAAACACAGATACAGGCTTATCTTACTGAAATCAACTATAGTCATCCATATTGTGGTCCTGAAAATAACATTGCAATTACACATTTTTTTTTAGGTATTCCAAAATGCAATCTGTACAAATCATTTCCTGCAGACTCAAAAGTGTTTGCTTATATATCAGCCATAATGCAGCATTTGGGGGTGGGGGGTATCAAATGGTGAGATTTTCCTTTTTTATACATATATACATGTACATATGCATATACATATACATATATACATATATATACACACACATATGCGTATATGTATATATATATAAATATATATACATGTATATATGTATATGTATAAAAGAGGCCCGTTTATTGTAGGGAGGAGGGAGGGATGAAGAAATGCTAAGCTGAACAGTTTTAGTACAAGCTGTATAACCAGAAGCAATTTTGTACTGTATGAAAAGGGGGAGGGGATGGGAGGGGAAGAAAATTTCACTAACGGAGGCAATCCATATTCCATTTTTTTTTTAATTTAAAAAAAACCCCAGCAACAAGAGTTTAAACGGATGAAGAAATACTGATGGATGGCGGGTTGAAGGTAGGATGAGATTCCCCCTTAGACACTACTGACTAACAGCAAGATCAAGAGACGAGAGCAAATGGGGGAAACCGGGTGAGAGGGAGAGGAAACGGTTCCTCGCAAAAAAAAAAAAAAAAAAAAACACAAAAAACCCAACCATCAAAGCCGAGCAGGGAAGCGGCGGGGCCGAGCCTAAGACCGCACCACCCTTACCTGCTCCGGGCGAGCTTCGAGCGGCGCCGCTTCCATTCAAAGTGACGGTCCCATCCCTCCAGATGCGGATGTCGGCAGGGCTCTCCACTCGGCGGCTCAGGCTTTCTCCGCGGCGACCCCCGGCGCGGAGGGAACCGCAGCACTGGTAGCAAACGGCCCACGCCTGCTCCTCGTTGATGGGCTGGTTGTAGAGCTTGAGGATCTCTTCCAGCGAGAGGGCTTCCCGCAGCATCGCAGCAGCCTGGCCTCCGCCGTAGCCCTCGTCCTCTCTGCGGCTGGAGGTGCCGGGCGAAGGCTCCTCGTCTCCCGCCGCCCCGGCGTAAGCCATTCCCTTTGCTGGAGAAGAAACCCCGGGCGGGAGCTGCTCTATCCGTCGCCCCTCGCTTTCGCCTCGCCCTCGCCTCAGCTGCTGCCCGCTGCCTTCATCTTCTCCCCAAACTCCTCCTTCCCCGCCAAAGCAGCCACCGCAGCCGAGCGCGTGAGCGGTGCAGGACAGCCCAATCCCGCGGGGAGAGGAATCCAGCCGGGAAGAATTGCGGACCGCCGGCCGAGTCAGCCGCTTCGAGGGCGGAGACTCTGGAAGGCGGGATTCACTTCATAGCAACCCAATGGCGTCCGCTGCCATCGACCGTTCTCTCCGGCTCGGCCGCCTCCTGTCTGTGGGAAAGCGGCGCGGCAAGAAGGGGCAAAAAAACGCCCTGTATTTATTCTGCGCGCGGGAGGATGGTACGGTACAGGCCGCCCTCGACTTGACCACCGTTGGTTTATGACCCTTCAGAGTTACAACGGCACTGAAAAATGTGATTTATGACCGTTTTTCACCCTTACGACTTTGCAGTGTTCTCCATAAGCATGTGATCAAAATTGAGGTGCTTGTGGCAACTGGTTCATGTTTATGATCTTTGCTGCATCCCAAGGTCATGCAATCCCCTTTTGCCACCTTCTGACAAGCAAAGTCAATGGGGAAGCCAGATTCACTTAACAACCGGGTTACTGATTTATCAGCTGCAGTGATTCACTTAACAATTGTGGCAAGAAAAGTCATAAAATGGGGCAAAAAAATCGGGGGGCAAAAGAAATTTAACAAATTTCTCACTTAGCAACATAAATTTTGGGCTCAGTTGTGGTTGTAAGTTGAGGATTACCTGTATTATAGTCCATATCAATATCCTGTGGTAAGAAAACCGACTGAGATTTCACAAAGAAGTCTGTCTTATCTTCGCTTAGACTTCATTCCTCAATTAAGAAGAATCTGCAATTCTTTTCCCACCAAGTGCACAAGATCCTGATGTATGCTTTGCTCTAATGTACAGTACTGCATTCAAGGTTACATTCTGCCTTCTGATATCTACTTATGGCTTTTCCAATGCAACTTTGTGGGTTTGTATGAGACACTGAATCATAAAATGACTGGAATTCTATTGGCACAATTCACAATTTACATCAGTCGGTTGCAAAACCCGTTGCTACTGGTTCGCTTGTGTGTGTGTGTGTGTGTGTGTGCATGATGCTTCTGCGCATGCGCAGAAGCATCTGGCGCGAGTGGGCGGAGCCTCCCACCGCTGCCGCTACCGGTTCGCCAATCCAGGTAGAACCAGTAGCAACCCACTACTGGTTTGTGCTTTGTCTAAGCACAGCAGACCCTGACAATTACTCAAAGCCTTTGAACTAGTATCAGTGTGAGTAAACAATAACATACACTATCACTATGAGTAACATAAAAACAGATGCATAAGGAAATAGAGATAAACAATGCCACTCAGGACTGGAGTTCTGTTGTTTAGGGTTATGGAAGCATTGGTTCAAGTAATATTGTATAATTCTTATCAAGAACTAGGATAGAAACAGGTGGAAAATGAGAAATGGGTGAATTTTAATAAATATTTATGCTATGCTTAACCTCCTTCACACAATATGTAAAGCTACAGGCTACCCTAGAGCCAAACTAATAAAGTGGAACTTCACTTAATATTAGGCATAAATGAATTTATTTTAACCTGGATTCACTATGTTATACTATATAGAAAGTTTACACTGCACAGATTCAGACATTATTATCCTCAACATGTACATGCTCTACTCAGGCAAAATGTGGTTGAGTGATATACCATTATGTTGGTGTTTATTCTAAACGTAATAGTATATGGAAGTGATCTTGGGAGACAGGTGGAAGATCATTACCTAAGCTGCGGGTCCTTTTCCTGTCTCCCAAAATTATTCCCATATATCATCACTGTTAATGATCACATAGATTTTCTCTATGACTATTTGTCTGCAAGAGGGACACGGTGGCTCAGTGGCTAAGATGCTGAGCTTGTCAATCAAAAGGTTGGCAGTTCAGCAGTTCGAATCCCTAGTGCCGCATAATGGGGTGAGCTCCCATTACTTGTCCCAGCTTTTGCCAACTTAGCAGTTTGAAAGCACCTAAAAATGCAAGTAGAAAAATAGGGATCACCTTTGGTGGGAAGGTAACAGCGTTCTGTGCGCCTTTGGCGTTTAGTCATGCTGGCCACATGACCAAGGAGATGTCTTTGGACAGCACTGGCTCTTTGGCTTTGAAACGGAGATGAGCACTGCGCCCCTAGAGTTGGGGACGACTAGCACATAAGTGCGAGGGGAACCATTACTGTTACCTTTTATTTGTCCGCAGCCTGTTCCTTCAGATCCTCCAGTGGTGTGCTATCACCATTGAGTTCATCCCCCTTTCTGCTGCTGGTCCTCTTCTTGTCTTTCTTTTCAGCATTACAGATTTTTCCAGAGTTTGTCTTCACATTATGTATCCAAAGTACAGGTAATCATCAATTTATGACCACAATTTAGCCAAAATTTCTGTTGCTAAGTGAAACAGTTAAGTAGGTTTTGCTCCATTTTACCATTTTTCTTGCCACAGTTGTTAAATTAGTACAGTTGTTAAGTGAATCTGGCTTCTCCGAAGGTAGCAAAAGGGGATCACATGACCTTGGGACGCTGCAGCCATCATAAATATGAGCCAGTTGCCAAGCGTTTGAATTTTGATCATGTGACCATGGGGATGCTGCAATGGCTGTAAGTGAGAAAAATGTCATAAGTCATCTTTTTCAGAACTGTTGTAACTTTGACGGTCATTAAATAAAGTGTTGTAAGTGAAAGACTACCTGTATAATTTGAGCCTGGTCATTTGTGAATTGAGTGAGAATTCTAGGTTGATTTATTTGATGATCCTTTATTTTTTTGCCTGTTGATGTTTTCAGGAAACTTCTCCAACACTAAAGTTTAAAAGCATCAATACTCTATACTTTCTTTTTTCAAAACACCAGCTTGATAATTGATCCTAAAGGACAGAAGTTAACTCACTCTTTCAATATCTTCACTGTCAATTCTAAAGCTGGTTACTATACCTGTTGTTGTTAATTTGTCTTTATATTTAATCTTACTCCCGTATTTTTCTCTGTATTCATCGACTATTATTAGAGCTTTCAGATAATTTCCACTTTCATCAGCATGGTGGTTATTGATGATTCCCCCTCTAATTAAAAAAAACAAACATGTTCTCCCAATCCAGCTTCCCTCAATATATATTCTGCATAGATGTTGAATAAGTAAGGTGAAATATAAGCCTAGTTTCACTCCTTTAGGAGCCAGTCTTTTTGCCAGATTCTGTCAGTACAGTAGCTTTCTGACTAAAGTCTAGGTTTTGCATGAAGACAATGAGTTGTTCTGGAATTCTTATTTTTTCAAGAACATTCTACATTATTGTACAATCAATAATGAAGCACATACTAATTTCTTTTTGGTATTCTATGGTTTTGGCATTCATTGTGATGTGGCATTTCTTTTCTTTCATGTTGGTATGTAGAGTAACTTCTTCCAATCTGTTGGCTACTGCACTGTTCTCCAGATTTGCTGGCATAGCTTAATAAGACCTTTACTGATTCTCCTTCTGTTGCTTGCCGTTTTTCTGTAAATATTAATTCCCATAGCTTTCTGACTTGGTAATAACTGAAGTGCTAATTTAATTTCATCTTCTTGTGCTAGAAAATTTGTAAGCAGGGATATCTTGATATATTGAATATTAACTTCTCTATTGTACAGAATTTCAGTATACTCCTTTCATCTTTTTTTTTTTTTAATCAGTTACTATCTGTCCATTGGTGTCCTCTGGTATACCAGTTTGAAATGGAATGCCCTCCTAAGTTTACAGATGTTTTAAAAAACTCCTTTGATGTTTTTGCAGATGTTGCTGTACTACTGCTTGTCTCTTCTAAAGTCTCTGAAATAGTTAAGATCCTTCTTTTCTTGGCAATTTCCATGGTTTGTTCTGACATCCAGTTTGATTCCTTCTGTTTCTTTTTACATGAATCTATGATTTCCTTAAGTGTATTCTACAGTTCCTCTGGTGAAATTCCAGATTTGAAAGTGATTTCTGATATTCTTCTTGAAAATGGTGGATATATGCTCAATATGATATTGTAGAAACTGCTTAGCATGTCTTCTGCTTCAGCTTAACTGAGAACTTGGACGTAAGCAATTTGTGATATGTTCCAGTCAACTCCAGCCACCTCTTTGCTATCATAACTGCTGTCTTCCAACTCTTTTTATCAGTAATGTATCAGTATGCAAGAAATCACACGGGGGGGGGGGGGAGGAATAAAAGTCTTTCTTTAATCCAACCCCAAACAAATAGATAACTACATATTTTAATCAAACAATTTTTAAATGATTTCTTTTAGAATGGAATGTGTTAGCAGCATCTGAAAAGTAATTGAGATACCAGCAAAACCCATCTTTGGATAAGATTATATATGCACGTATTAAGACATAATTTATCTATGGTTCTTGAATAAACTACAATTGGCTAAAGGTGTGCATTTTGATAAGGCATAATTTGTGAATTGCAAAATGCAGGAGTTTGATTCACATAATATCTAAGGCAAAACCAAACCATCTTATAGCTTTTTTACATTGTGTAACCTCAGGACAGAAGGATGTAGCATCACAGGGGACCTCCCCCATGGTGCCCTCCCAAAAACCATAAAAGCCAAGGGGAAAGAAATGGACTTGCTGTTGCAAATCATCTTTCCATCAGTAGATAAATTTGGAAGCTTGTAAATTCCTGAAGTTTTATCTAGACTTGGTATCCTTGAGGAAAAACCTATTCCATGATGTGCAAACTTGATTTCTTTTCTTGTTATTATATGATCTAATGTGTCATATGAATTCAGCCATTAGAGTTTATTTAATCAATTATCTCAATGTGAAGACAAGGCCACATTAAAATCAGAATTAAAATACTTCCGGTAAGTATGATGCTAATAGTTCATTTAGGTTACAAGATTTTCTTCACACCCAGAATTACCATAGAATATATATGTATATGTATTTATTGCTAATCCATTGCTGTGAAATACAAGAAAAGAGTAGGTGTTTTGTTCTGCTGATAAAGAGATTTAATTAATATATTTTTTCTGCTTTCCTTTTGCTGTTTATTTTTTTACATGTTTTATTCATTTTAAAAAGTCTAATCTGTTCATGCTAATATGTGTGAAAGCTGCAACCTAATAGTTGCTGAACTTTGATTTAAAAAAATGTTGACTTCTGCTGACTATCCTGACACACCCAAGTTATTTTCTGGGCAACAGTACAGAAGTGGTTTGCCACTGCCTTTTAGGATGTTTTTTTCCCTTCCCAATTTAGCCTGCAGCCTTGGTTAATTCCTGGCATGGGCAGTTAAGCAAGATTTCTACAAACCCAACAGGAAATCATATTGGGCCAGAAGGAACCTTGGCATGAGTTTAATGAGGCTGCTTCAGACAGATGGATACAGTCCATGAATGCTTGTGTTGGGCTTCGAATATTTAGTGAGCTTTCAAAGTGAAATTTGTGCTCTAAACAACAGATTTCCTGAGATTTCACCAGTAACTGTTGCTGGCATATTTAGAGGCAAGATGGTCTGCTATGCAGATAATAGGCAACTGAACAGGAACTGGCTGGGCTCCTGTTTTTATAAGCAGGAATGCTGACTTCTGATTGGTCTTTAGCCAAACTCTTTTCTGATTGGAACAGGTTGGTGAAGCTTGATGAGACCTCCTATTTCTAGACGACCCTGTTCACTGAATGCTGAAGCACAACACTGCCAAATCCATAGCTCTGTCCATACAGTCTTTACCTAAAATTAACCTAATTATAATTAACCTAATTATAATTCTGAATTTGCAAAACATACTAAACGTAAATTATTCTCATGATCTGGATTTATAAAAACACGGACTGAAATGTGAGTAGTTAATTTATGGTTCAATGAGTTGTATGAACACAATCTATAAGAAGAAACAGGCAGCAGAGGCAATAAAACCTACTCAATCGAATACTGAAGATCTATTAATCTGAGCGCTTCCCTCCTTTGGCTCTTTGGGAACTATTATTATTATTATGAATATATTCACTAAATTATGAAATGTATAAGTGTAATATAAGTAGACAGGCAATATTTCCACAAGTAGGCTGAAGACTGGCTTAAAGCCATTTATGAAAAGCATTGGCTTAGTCTTATTTTTCAGGAACATCAGCAATGATATGTTTAGTTGCAATATAGAATCAAAATCTGAATTGTAGATTAGCTGATCTTGAGTTATGATGGAAGTATGCATATTCATATCACAAACTAATCATTTTCCTTAACCCTTATGGACAGACTGAATCTCTTTTCTCCATTTGATTAGTATTTAGATTTTGTGTAAACTATTACAGTATGATTATACAGGAAGTTCCCACCTATCATTTTAGTAGAAAAACTGTATACATTTTGCTGCTTTAATTTCTGGATGGTTTTATTGTTGTTAGAAACCTGATTTAGATTTTTACCAACTTAAACTTCTGGAAATCATTCATTATTAACACAGATTTTATTCCAATAAAATATATAAAATATATTATACAATTTCTGTCATGATATACAGTATAAAATTACACAGATCAATTCTAACAGTATAGCAGTATCCTTTATTAGGGATCCACCATATTGTATTCAAATATTTGTTTTTAAAATCTCCTGAAATCAGGAGTGATATGTGCTGCCAAAATCTGGAGGCAATTTACTCGAGTTTAAGTGGCATGATTTTTGTTACTGATGCTGCTTTTATTCAGAATTAAGAGAGTGAGTTGAAATGAGGTTAACTCTGAAAAATAGAATTAACCAAAGAGGTTAACGCTGAAAAATAAAAATCAGCATTTTTAGCTGAATTTTGGCCTATTTGGCCTTTTTTTCAGGATTTTAAGGATGGGAACAGTTAGCATATAGAAGACAATCATTTCCAATTCCTCCTTTAATTTAAAACGGACCCAAAATAGTGATTCCAGGTGTGTGTGTTTTTTAAAGGCCCTAAAATGTCAGATATCACAGACTGCCTCCTGTTAGCTCTTTGAAAGCTGAGGAAGCTGAATGGCAATCCCAATATCTTTCAACATGAGGGAACCCTCCATAGCCTTAAATAGCTCCTTTAGTGTATATATCTACAGTAAGTAGACATAGAAACTAAGTCCATTAAAATCAATCCAAATGAATTCTATTTAACCAGGTTTGAGACCAGGATCAGCTTGCATTCATAACACACACAATATTTGACTTTCTATAAGGTTTGCATGTGATAACACACAATTTCACCTAAATATGCAAAAAAATTCTTAAAGTATACAACGGTATTTGCAAGCAAGCATGATCCAAACAGCACACGCAGATTCAGGATATGTGAATACTCTGACACGAACTGCAAGTCTCACTTGGTCCCCTCTACAGCACAGAATTTCTTCACAGAAAGGAGATCTATTTGAAGAAGCAGAAACATGAAGCGTTACTGTAATTTGATTGAAATAAATGGTACCTATAGTATATGTTGAGAATACTAATTATTACACAAAAAGGTTAACTTATTCAAGCTAGTTTAGAATCACATTATATAATAGAAGATTTGAAAGGGGCCATTTAGGCCATCAAGTCCAACCTCCTGATTGGGGAAGAATTCAAATGAATTGGGCATCTAGCCTCTGCTTGAACCAAGCAATGAAAAAGAACCTTACTAAACAGGCTCATTGTGCTTTGGCTGAACACATTTATTGATTTTATGAGCTATGATCCATCTTGTGGCAGCAGCCCATCATCTATATATCTCAAACCAGGTCTCCAGAAACCAAATTGCAGCTGTTGACATGATTTGCATAGCCAATCAGACTTTTTTAGTTAAATAAATTAATATTCAATGTAATAGCAAGAATGATAGTTGTTTGGATTCTGGCCTTATCCATTGGTCAGGTAATAAAAGTGCAAATAATTGCAGGTAAACTTAGGTGTCAAGCAGTAGTCTTCTATACCTTCTCCTGAACTCAGACCGCGCATAGAGGAATGGAAGCAAATATCCTAGAGTCTCAATCCTGTCAACAGTCCCAAAGCATATTATGGCAATAATATCAAAAGCTAATGACAGAGTCAGGAGAACTGGCAAGCTTACTTTCAATTTCTTAGTTCAGGTCATATACCAAGATAATCAAAGCAATTTCACTATTAATAAAAAGTCTAAATAAAATGGATCCAGAAACTTGGTATCATTCTAAAGCCCTTCTTAATCACCTCAGTAAGAAATGAAACAAATTTTCCACATCAAATGGTGATGGTATTCCCCCACAAAAGTCTTGTTACTTACTGTATGGGGAAGTACATCCAAACTGACACTGTTTCTGCTAGCTATGAATATTGCATTACTCTGTTATTAGATTTTTATTCTGCCTCTTTTATACATAACTCAAGGCAGCAAACATACCTCATACCTCGGCTTCCTATTTTCCCCACAACCACCATCCTGTGAAATAGGTTTAGCGTGTGACCCTAAGTCACCCAGCTAGCTTTCATGCCTAAGGGTTGCATAGGAATCAAGTCTCCTGGTTTGTAGGCCAGCATCTTAACCACTGCATTGAACTGGCTCTTATAATTTCCTCATGATCCTTCCAATTTTCTATTCTGTTTGATTCAATATTGAATCAGATATCTTATACAGAATGATAATATCAGACCAGTATCTTAGATAAAAATTATATTGAAAAAAAAGGAAACAAGTTTTACCGAAGACATGAAGCAAATGCTCTCCTAGCATTTCTATACACAAAGTGAATGGGAAATCCTTTGAATGTATGACCATCTGGTACAGCCCTCCTAATAATATCTTGAAATTCTTCATTTCCTGAAGAAATTCCTGTTGTACGTTCAAGTTCATAGGCTGCCAAAGCTGGTGACAAGAAATAAGACAACTGATCGTCCCAAACTGTTGCAAGGCCAAGATCCTGTACATTGACAAAACAAAAAACATAAAAGGAGCTGATAATTGCCATTAATTATAAGAGAAGGAATAACAACTAATTTTGCTGGTTTATCTTTAGAAAAGATTACACACAATTTAGTTAAATAGTTTAATACTTTATCCTCACTCATAATATTTTTAGTTTACAAATCTGAATTATAAAACAATGTCATATGCCCTTCGATATCTATAGAGAAAATAGGTAAAGGGAAAACGATCACTTCTTTGAGTCCTTATTCTGTACTACTAAACTTTGTCACTTGAAAGCAATCATTGTAAGGACATTTTCAATTTTACTATTGCAGGTTATAAATGTTTGAAATGTATACGTTTGGTTTTCTTAAAACACTTGGACAAGGTCAGAAGGTGAATGTTTAAGAAAGTTCATCACTTTTTTTTTTCTGATAGAAGGCACTTTCAAAAAATGTAAATTACATTACAGACATGGCCAAATTCTCTTGAAGATTGAAGAACAAAAAGATATTATGTTATTTTGTAAGATTTAGCTGGAAATGTGCAGGACAAAATGGGTGTAGACCACATTACAAATTGCAAACACCATAAAGTATTTTTTTTATTCAAAAAAAAATGTTGCGGGTGGTGGTGTAAAGAGAATGTTCTAAAAATAAATCATATATCATTTAGCACATAAGTACTTTGAGCATTGTAACTTTTTTTACTGTACAATAAGAAAAAAATAAAAATATTAACTGTCTTGATCTGCCACCTAGTGGTGTAATGAATGACATGGAATCTCTGGGCTCTAAGCCTCTAAGCTTCTTCAGTGACTTTGTCCAGCAGAGTAATATAAAATCTTCAGGCTTTACCATTCTATCCGGGGATTATGTACAAATGAAACCTTTTCATCTTTTCTATTTTATTATTTAAGATACTCAGAAGAAAAATCCAGGATTATGTGAAAATCCTATATTTTTTTCTTTCAGTAAGGCCAAAGTATTTGAAAGGACACAATAAATGTTGTAAATAAAAATGGTGATAGCTCACTAAGATTACTAGGTGCAAATAGAAATACACATTATTTCCATAGCAAGGAAGATAAAGCAGGAATTGTTAATTTGATTACTTTATTTAAAGAGGAAAATATGTTGTTATTTGGATATCACTTCTGGAATTTTTGTTTGTGAAGAAAAAAATGAAACTTGGTTTTGTTGATTAGAAAGATTTCGTGTTATAGAAATGGCTAGTTATATATTAATGTGTAAAAGCAAAAAGTTGAGGTTGGAGTGTGTTTATTTTGTACTGTGCTACGAAGAGTTGGAAGTCAATGCCTCCTTTTCTTTCTTTTTCTCTTCCCCCTTGTACTTACACCCCCTTTCCCCCGTTCCCATTCCCTCACTTAATTTCCTATTTTCTTTTGTTCTTTGTATTTTATATAATAAAAATATGAAAATCCCTATATTCATCCAGATTAAAAAGTTAATAACTATGCAAAGCAATATTCACTACTGTAAATAAACTTATGGATGTTATAATGAAGAGGAATTCACCATGTGCTCTTTTTAATTTTTTAGAAAAATAGCAAATTCATTCCAAAGGGTGAAGGGTTGGGTAAAGGAAGGCACAGTAACATAATTTCTCACCTAACAGCCACTTCACTTAGCCATAAAGTTGCCAGTCGCAATTGTGGTCGCTAAACAAGGGGTATCTGTACTTCTACTAAGAATTGATTAGAATATAGATATACATTCTCATTTTTAAATTAACAATAATGAACTGTTGTCAGATTTACTTAAGTAACTCATTATCCCTTGCCAGAATTAGTTTCAATCCTACTTGACTCTGGCTGTTCTAAACAACCATACTCTTTTAAACATTAAGCTGTGTGAAAAAGATTTGAGTTGATAGCAAAGTAACTGAGTCTGATAGAAAATAGGTCGTACGATAGGAGTATACTGACCCAGTACTGTTGTAGAACCAAGGACAGAAGATGAAATAGGAGCAATTTAAAAACCAGAAGAAGCATTTAAGATACCTAGATGCAGCATTTAAAAATACAAAAGAAATATGAGGCAAATTTTAAAGAAGCATACACTTGTTAACTTAAAAGTAAATTGGCTTTAAAAAGTGAATGTACATATTTCATAGCGCTTACCAATAAAGACACCTACCTTCCTATGTTCTACGACTAACATTCTAAATTGCAATTCTAGTTCATTGCTTGCTGATGCAGCATCTGTTGTGGAACTACAGAGAGGAGGAAAAGATGGAAGTGCCGTTGTGGCCCCTGGAGAACACACAGATTTGATTGCTTCTCCACTCATTGGTTTCCATTTGGATTCATCATGCAAATCAAAGATACAAATTTCTACAGCATCAGAAGGCTGGCAGTTTGCCAAAAACTTCTGATGATTGAAGATACAGCCTATTGTTCTGTAAGGATATAGTGCCTTGGGTTGCTTAACATTTGGAGGATCATCAGGTTTGACAGGATTGTGGATGTATCTAAAGAACAAAAGACATGCCTTAATACAGCAAAAGTTAAATTAAATTTTAAATTAATCTCATGGATTAGCTTTTTAGTCGACATTATGTTGGCATAGATGAGTTGCTGATTGTTCAACTTTGATTAAAAATACAGGGATGGGTTGAAGAATACACTTTCATTCAACAATACATCCATAAATACCTATGCAAACTCAAGAGCTAAGCCTGAATCTCTGTTCTTCATTTCATAATGCAGTATTTCACCAGGACAGTTAGTTATCCTGTCCTCACCTTTGTACTTTTAGTCACCCCTCATTCTTATGCCACCAGTTTTTCACCACAAAACAGCACTTCCATTGTGAAATTGCCTTGAAAAGAAGGATGTTGTACTGAAACATTGGTTGCCTTAAGCCACCTAACCAGAATTGTGCCACTTATATAGACTACTGAGAAAATATCTTTTGGAGCTATACATTTATTCTCATGGAATGTACATGTGGCCAAGTTGCTGACTTTTGACTGCATGGCATTTTAATGAAGTAGTGTGCTCAGTCTGAACGGAAACATTTTTGTTAAATAATAATTTGATCTATTGATTGGTTAAACAAAACTAAATGCTTTCCAATAGTTTGCATTCTGATATTTGAATTGTCATAACTTGCTATACTTTTACTACTTTTCTTACCTATGTCCTGTTAAACTCTCCCAGAAAGTAGTTATTCCATCAGTCCCGTAAGTCATCACCCATGTGTGAGGAGTGCTTTTAGCTTTTGTTCCTACACAAACAAACGCTTCCATCCCAAATCCCAATAGAAGACTACACAAAAGGTTAGCATGATCTTCACAATCACCCTGAAGAGGAGATATATTAAAGGTAGAACACAAACTTGTAAGAACTATTTTTATTTTTTTACAAAGTAAAACTTAACATCTAATTACAATGTAAGTGGCATATTATAACTAATGTAGCAACTATCTAATAACTATGAGTTCTTGGCTCAAAAAAAATACCATTATTTATTGTTATAAATATAGAGGAATATATAAAATGTTTTCCTTTACACATGAATAATTTCCTATGCTGGAAGGTCTGTTTGTAAAGATTGGATGATCTATAGAAAAAAATGAAAGGTTGCAAAATAATCTCTTTCTAGAACAGAACACATACACACATCTACCATTAGTCTAGATTCATAGATTACCAACAATTTTATTACCGTCCAGGTCTCCTCTGAACCATCCCATTTTTAAATAATTTAGCATCTTATAGAAATAAATTTTCTGCACCATTTCTAGAATACCTTAAACTACTTCGACTTTGAGGAATTTATTTCTGAAATTCACTTCCCCTTCCAGAATATCAGAATCTGAATAGTTTCAGCATAATCCAAAGGAAAAATGAAAGTTTCTACAGTTAGTCCTTGAGTTACAACCGTAATTAAGCCTGCCCATTGCAGCCATAACTCGTGATGGTTGTAAAGCAGGTCAGTCATGGAAGGGCCCAACCGACAGAACTTTGAATCTGGTTCATGAGTATCCCAGGTAAATCAGCTGGAACTTCAAAGGACTACCTGTAATGCTCTTCAGGTTTTATTTCCAAATAGTTGGATTTTGCATATCCCTAGTTAACAAGATGAATATATACTATTAGAAAATGACAGACACATTTATTGGAGAAAGAAAACTCGGAACTTATTACTAAAAGGCAAATACCTTGTTATATTATATAGGAAATATATGCTAGAATTTGTTCCTTATTTAGCAATACTAGGAAAAGGCACACATTGAACTTTGCTGCTTAACTATAGTTTTCTTTATGTCTATATTATAACATGTAAAATCATCTAAGCTGATGTTTCATCAGTTCAGAGGCATGATAAATTTTATCACAGGACTTCCGGATGAAAGCCATCATATTCAAAATTGCTTGAACTATGAGTTAATAATATAGAAGAATTTAGATTTAAATTATACCTTGTTTCTACAGAGAAAGGCCAAAAGAGAACACCATTGTTCTTGTTTACTGTTTCCTCCCCCAATGATAGGGGCTTTTTCATAACCGATCACGTTGACAAATCTGGCAGCTTGCCGAGGTGTGTCCAGAAGTCGGCCTGCTCGAAGTGGCCTAATATATGAACATACTGGCCTGTTTATCCCATTTTCATCCTGAATGTAAAAGGTGTGTGAAAAAGCACATTAAATCAAATACAGTAAACATCTGCACACTTCAAAAATTATTATGAAGAATCAGGATGAAAAATAGCTGCCACTGTTTTAAGGAACTCACTTATTTGCTACTGTTTTTTCCCCCAGGATATTTCTCAAACCATCTCTCCTTTAGCTTCTAAATCTAGATAAAGTCATATAGGAGATACAACTTAAGATCTTAATTTTAACCCTTAAAAAAACACCTGTATACGACTTCTCTTTTTTTTCTCCATCCAGTTGCTTGCTTCCTGCCTCACCAACTTTGGTATAATTGAAGCACAGGCTTCAACTTCTGCAATTGCCTGCCCAGCATATTCTCCCCCCTCTTTTTTTTTTTTTTTTTTTGCTGTTTCTGCTGGAAATGTGAGGGCTATTTTGTGCTTTGGATGAGAGAATAATTGACTATATGGATAGGAAATCAATATGGCCCCTTATTTTATTCCATTTTTTAAGTCTACTAGTGGCCAGGCAATAATACACAAATGTGACACATGCACACATTTATTGGAGAGGGAGAAAGTTTCAGGATTAGTTTCAATAGTTAACTTGTTAAAAATTGACAAAGCGGGAATCTAGTCATTGTACAAGAAATTAGCCTGCATTTACGATTTTTCTGTCTAGTCTTTTTTGCAGGTGGGAACATAGAAGTGCCCTGCTTTCATATAAATACTACAGTACCTAGCTCAAGGTTTTCTAATAAGCTCCATTGTATTCAACCTTTGAATCTTGGTGTCTCTAGTCCTAGTCCTAGACCACCACTCTACTCCTTAGATGACACTGGTTTTGGTAACCAGAAAGGAATTTTTAAATTATCTGTATTTATATTCATCCATCTACATCTATAGATTATATCAAAAGGATTGTTATTACAGTGAATAAATTGTAGAATTATCATATCTGATAGTTTTTTATTTTGTTTCCAGTTTTGTAACAAATTGGAAAAATTATATAACCACCCAGTATTTAATTATAATACAACTTTACTGTCAATTTTTTCAACACTTATACAATGTGCAATATAAGGAATGAATTCAATTGTTGTTAAAAGCTATTAGATTCATTATAGCAAAATACTAAAAAGATAAAGTACATTCTTCTTTGGATCAATGGTTTTTAAAAGTGTAGTAGGAAATAGCAATTGTTAAAAAAACTAGGCCAAGGTTTTTTCTAGAATCAATATGCATATTAAATGAAAATTAAAATACAATTGCATACATACACACAGAAATAATTCATCAATATTCTTTTTAGCAATGCTACCGTTGAATTCAAATGGTTATACTTCCACAATTGCATTTTTGTACTTTTAAACAAATAATGATATTGTAAGGATAATATTATTCAACTGGGCAATATACAGACAGATGTTGATAGTTCTCCTTACAGTCCTGAGCACCATCCCCCCACACTATTGATAATCCTCTAATTTCCAGAACATCTTTTGAAAGAGCACCAAACAATCATCAAAAAATTATCACTAGATTCTCTTATACTAGTCTGAATAAAACATAGTGATTACTTTTAAAAAACAGGTATGTTGAGATAAAAAGTTGGAACCAAGGCATTTAAAACTTCTACAACTGAAATCTTAGATCACAAGTAGTTTTTCCTTCCAATGCATTGTTTAAAATGTAAATCATAGTCTATTTTATAATCATCAGATTTCTTGCAGATTTTTGTGTGTATATTATGTAAGTTAAATCTGAGGGCGGATGGTATTGCTGGTGTTTTGAAAGAGCTTTTCAGGCATGATGATGAAAGTGTTTGCTTATTCATAAATCAGCTGTCTAAGTGGGTGGATGATCGTGTACATAATTTCATTGTGTTGTAGGGCAACAATTATTGAACTAAGGTAACTCAAATGGGTAATTTACAGAATGCTACTGGTAGGGCCGTGGGAATGAAATTTGGGGAAATTGTGGCTGCTTCAGCATCACCGCATCTTCTGACTACACTTCCCAGAAATGCATAGGTTACATTGTACAAGGGAAGAAGAGAAGGTGATGTCTGCATCCTCCTTTTCACTTCTGTCTGGTCCCTGTACTCAATTGGATGGCGGCAGGGCCCGATGACAGAATGGTGGCTACTTTGGCACAAAGGCTGAAATCTCCCAACAAGGAAAGGATGGGGAAATGAGTTGGATGTCTACTTGTGAGATAGTATTGTATTGACTGGGGAGTGCTCATGATGACAGTCAGCCTTCTTCTTGAGAGGGGGCCCTTGGAGACATGCTGGGGAATAAGGGTGTACTTTTCCTTGCTCTCCACAGCTTTGCTCCCCCTCCCCTCCAGAAACGGGCAGACAATTCTGAACATTAGCTGAGGAGGGTGAGGAGTAGTAGTAATTTCCAACACTCCCTGCCAGCTTCCCACAAACAACATCCATGGGGAAGCTGGCAGGAAGTTGGGAATTGCTCCTAATCCCATTGCTTTTTTGCCCACATGTGGTCATTTTGTTTATCTGTTTAGGTAAGAAATATCTCTGAATGAATGACCCAGCTGGCATGGGTTAGTAAATAACTAAACTAAAGTTCCTAAGATTTTGTGGTGTCTGTTTCCTCACTGGCCTAACTTGAAAGGCTAACATATACTGAGTTCAGGGTAAATTTATTTCTACAGCCTTTTATTCCCATATTATATGAACTGTAAAGTCTAGAATATGGAATGGCATATTCCATACCTGGGCAAATATTTTCACTAGTCTTGAACTGTGTGAAGTCCTGATCTGTAAGTATTCTCTCCACCATTGCTTTGCATACACAAGAAACAGACGTTCCTTTTCTGCTGTTTTCTGCCGTTCTAAAGACATCTGTAATTGAAAAAACAACTATATGTTTCAGAATTCTTTTCTGAATTCAGAAAGTTTCATTATAAATCATAAAGCATATACCCTGCTAGTGTAAACTGAACTAATGGCTAGTATAAACATCTTGCTATTAAACAATACAGTAAATATTTATATAATTCAAGGTATAAATAACATGGTATAAATATTGTAATTAAGCTCTAATCTTAAATCCGAATGTCCTTGGTTAATAAAGTGTAAGATACATCATTATTATATATTCTTATATATAAGAATAGTGTACTTCTGGCTGAGTAACACATTTCAAGAATGATTAAAACTTGATCCAAACTTCTTGTGGCATAGCAAAACAAAGAATACTTTGCCAGTAGTACATTTTTAATGATATTGACCAATTTTCAGAAAACTTTCAAAGATAAAGATAAATCCTTCCTATGAAATTCCATGCTTTTGCCCTGGCTTTTTTTATTGCAAGATTAGGCAAGAATTATCAAATACATACAAAATTAGAAACAGCTTTATTGTTTAGGACAGATTCAACAGTACCATAAATTGGCCATTTGCCACAGAAAATGTGAACTAGAATGCATATGTGATAATATTTTGAAAAACACCGGAGTTACTCATTCCATATTTCATATTCATTTTAATATTTATTACATTAACTTTGATTACAGGTAGTCCTCGACTTACAGTAGTTCATTTAGTGACCATTCGAAGTTATAATGGCATTGTAAAAAAAGTGACACTATAATTTTTCACACAACTTTTGCAGCATCCCCATGTGATCTAAATGCAGACATTTGGCAACTGTCTCACATTTATGATAGTTACAGTGTCCTGTAGTCACGTGGTCACCATTTGTGAACTTCTGACAAGCAAAGTCAATGAGAAAGCCAAATTCACTTAAAAACCATTAATTACTTAACAACTGCAGTAATTCACTTAACAACTGTGGCAAGAAAGGTCATAAAATGGAGCAAAATTCACTTAGCAACTGTCTCACTTAGCAATGAAAATTTTGGGCTCAATTGTGGTCGTAACTCTAGGACTACCTGTATTTAGGAGGGAAACCAGAATGTTTCAAGAAAACTACATGCTTGATAATACACAAATTTTAACTTGTGAAATAAATATTAAAATTTGCTTAACATTAAAATCAGTCTGAATTATATTAATATTATTGTTAATTAGAACATACCTGAGTATTAACTATTTCCTGAGAAAGAGTCTTGTTAAGTTTTGGATAGATTTCAAGTTTGATATTAAGTACTCCAACAGAAACCTTTGATTCTGAACCTTTGAATCAAAAGTTATAGAACAACTTTTGAACTTAAGAAAATAAACCTTTTACTAGATCAAGCATTCAAAATATATACAATATCCATATATAGTATTAAATTTATAACTAGATTTATCATTATTAAATGTTTTTGAAGCCTGGGAGAAAGTTTTCCCAAAACAGAAATTTAAATTTAAATAGGATCAGTTTGGACTATTAGCAATCAGCAAAACAAAGGACATAATAGAAAAAGGTCCAGCTATTCTGACTGAAGAATGAAGGGAAGATCAACAGAGAAACTAGACTTTCTGAAGTTGTACCCTAAGATGCCATTCTCTTTCCTCCTACATCTATAAATGTTATTGCTAAAATTCAGAAAAAGTACTTTTGAGAACTTTCTTCTATGAAATACGTTTTCATCACTATTAATTCCATCTTTTTTTCAAAGTTGCACCCAATATCATTTTCCACAATGTTAAAACAGGTTTTAAACTTACCTACACCAAGAAGTTCAACTGCCACATTTGTTATCCTGTTTTCTGCACTAAGGACAGATCGCCATTCTAAGAAATAGGATGCTACTAATGTGGTCTCACCCGAGGTGTCTGTTTTGATCAAGACAATGTGCACTGGATCACATATGGACAGCATAGTGGTAGTATCAACCATTTTGCTTCCTTCACCTGTCAACATCACATCCAACTAGGGTTAACTAAAAACTCCAATTAAAAGCGCTTCCCATTCATATTATTTGTTATCTATGTAAGTTCACTTAAAATTAATAAAGAATATTCAGCGTATACATGACATAATATTACATGAAAGTTTTTATCATGACAATTCAGCAATTCTTTATAACCAGTTTAAATCATGTAGAAAAAACAGCTGGGATTGGAAGTAGGGAAGGAAATATAGGTTTTGATTGAAAAAAAGGTTAGTAGGGAAAGAGTTAAGCACCTTATTCCCATTTGCTTTTCTTCCACCAGGAATCATTGAATTAAAAAAAGAATACACCAAATTCACTATAATGAAGTAGCTGGTTAGCTTGCTGTTTTACTGCAAGGTAATCCATAATGGGAAACAGTATTTCTAAATAGGCTACCAAGTTTTTAAAACTGGTGAGATACCAAATATGCTAAGAAACTCATTCATAAAGGAGCAGCACATTTGAATTCAGATTACATTATATGAGAGCCAAGTAATCTATTTATAGAATAAATTTCTAGCTCTATTCATTAAAATGTTTAAAACTTTATGTAAAAAAGAAATCCCAAAATGCCATCTTGTACAGCTCAGAAATAAACCCCATCAATTTCTCTGAAATTTATTCCAGGTTAAACAAGTTTCTGAGCTTCCACATTAATAATCTTTTCAGATATATAATTTTCAGTACAGTAAAAATATACAAGTAAAAAAAAAAAAGATAGAAAAAAGAAAAGGAATTAAAAGAGAAAAACAAAGTTATGTCTTCCACCCTTCTATCAAATATACAAAAGTATGAAGGCTATTGCTTAACACATTGTAAGCCGCCCTGAGTCTCCGGAGAAGGGCGGCATATAAATCAAATTAAAAAAATAATAATAATAATTATCTATCAAAAAGTCATCAATTTGATCTTTTCTTGTTTCAACAAAAGCCCATATAAAGTTTGCAGTCTTTCAGATTAAAAAAAAATCTCATTTTTTATAATGTTTAGATTCTGATTGATGTACAAATTTACTTACCTAAGGTATCCTTGTGTACTTCAAGCAAAAATCCATCACTGAAATCTGGTTCACAGGCACACGGAACAGGTTTAGAGCTGAAACGCTGGTTCCGGAAATGTAAGTAAAGAGTGAAGGTAGAGCAAGTTTGACCAGGCAAAGGTTCGGGTTCCTGAAGATGCTCTAGGAAAGCTTTCCCCCCCAAAACCTGAAGGTAAAGATACCTTCGTGTTGGATCAATATTTGCTGTAAAGTATTGGAAAAATATAAGGTAGTACAAATGGTATGTAAAAATACAGAAAGCATTTTTTTAAAAATGAATAAGATCTTCAGAAGCCTTAAAAAGACTCTTTAAAATAAGAATGTGCTTTACATTGTTCACCTAATATTTATTTTAAATGTATATGTTATTTTTCTATCAAATCTATAACAACGTTGTGACTTATTTTAAAGGGAATTACAAATTGTATTATTTAAGATCTAACAATTATATTTGATATATTTTTATAGGTATACATATTATATTTACCTTTTAGGCGAAAGATTAAGATTACAGATAATCCTTGCTTGGAAATAGAAACTGGGACCAGATTTTCAGTTGCTAAGTGGTTATAAAGAACAATGTCACCTGACTAGACTCCTTAGCAATGGCAGTTCTTGCTTACTATCATTAAACAAATCCTACATTAAATGTGACATCAGGTGACTATCCTTTGTGACCTCCTCCCAGCTTCTTCGTTAGTTTTGCTCGTTGGATGTTGGTAATGAAGGTTGCAAATGGTGACCATATGAATGTGGGATGCTGCAATTTCATAACTCTGAGCTGATTGTCTAATACCTTGAATGCAATCATGTGACTGCAACTTTTGAAAGTATGAGGACTGGTCATATGTACTACTTGTTCAGCACTATTGAGTCATCATTAAGCAAGGATTACCTGAAACAGAGTTGTTTTATAAACTAACAAACAAATTTACAAAAGGATGTCCAAAATATATAGAGGGGAAAGAAAATGAAAGAAGTGTAAACAAATCACAGAATGAAAATAATCTTATCATTAAAGATTTATTAAGACAATATGTAACATACTTTTTTTCAATACTGCTGGTTGCCTGTCAACAAAGTGTGTAGTTGGCTTTGGAGTAGAAATTCTTTCCCTGTCGTTTATGTCCTACAGATATAATTAAAAGAAAATTAAGATAATTTTCAAATCAGATTTTCTTACAATTCTGTAAATCTTTTTTTTTATTCTTACTTTGTTTTATTCTATCAAAATATCCAGCCTAAGGAAATAGCTTTATGATTCAGCACAGCTGGTTATTCCAACACTCATAAGCAAATAAACTCTTTGGTATGTATTTTTTGAAATATGCATTAAATAAGTACATTCTAATATTTGCACTTCAGCAGGCCCAGGTACATTCTCTTATTTGTTGATTTGAAAACTAGTATATTTTTCAATTTTTTGGACAAGGTTGTAATTGAGGGAGAAATAGGATGCTTATTTATCTTTTATTGTTTGGTGAGAGCACACCAATTGGTAATGGTGGTAGAACTTTCTCATTCCTATTAAATTCAGGAATGGAGAAATTTGTTATGCTTATTCTCAATTTTAAGTACTCTGTGAGGCCAAAGTTGTCATTTACTTTCTGTCTCTTTTTTGAACCTCCTGCAGAATGGATTCTTAAGGATACAAATGAGATTGCATAGCAGGCAGAGGCAAGTTTATACCAAAGGTGGCAATATACACCAGGAATGGCCTTCCCCTGTGTCCTAACCCCCAAAAGCTATTTTCAAATAAGGCTGCATTTTGTTCCATTTCACTAAAGAAACAGAATCATTTATATTGTTTTAGATAGATTTATATCACAAAGAAGCCTATCAGAAATTCTCTGTTCAAGGAGAGCAATAATTTTATTATGCTCATTAATATTGCTACAGAATAGTTTTGTTTAATGCCAAACTGTACTCACAGACACAAAGTTGAGTTCTTTCATAACATCATCAATGATTCCTCGCTGTGCTAAGGCTTTCATTAGATCTTCTTCTGATAACTGTTGATGTTGAGGTGCCAATTCTTCTCTTATGGTCTCAGCAAGAACTGCTCGAATCCTGCTATGAACATCCATCTAAAAGAAAACATCTCTGTTAAGTATTTGTAAAATACATTTTACCCAACCTTTCAAATAAGTCATTCTAAAACAAGAGCAGGATAATTCCCAGATGAAATTAAGTTCAGATTGGCTCTTCCATCAATAGAAGGCTTATTCCAATGTACAAAGGACATAGGCATCCATTGGCAGAATAATATTTTTGCCCATTCACCCTTCCTTCAGCATTACCTTTCCTGCTGCTCTGCAAGATCTTTTTATCAGAATAAAAAGAATAATATTTTTCAGCATAAGTGCAAGTGCAGAACTACATTGGAGTCACCAGCTTGCAGGACCCAACTGGTAAATTTTCTGGAAGGGACTGTAAATCTACCATCCCCAACTCTACTATAAGTGGAAATCCATTATTGTGATATTCATGATCCAATCAACATATAAACAATTATAAAGTTGTAGTAACTGTCTCTTTTTAGCTACTGACTTCAAATGCAGTATTAATGTTGTTCTTACAAACTACTCAACAGCAGAAGAATGCACTTTTATATCCATACTTCATAAATATTGGCATTAAATCTTGATATTTTCAGTGTTTCTGTCTCTTCTTCATAGCTGACTCTTTTCAAAATGTATACGTATTTCTGAAATTAAATCCTAAATTCAGCTAGGTAAGTTAGTTTACAATTTATAGCCCTCTATACATTTACACTTCCACTGATTTTACTGATTTGTATGTGTTTAAACACATAATTTTTACAACTGAAAAATAAGCTTTTAGCACCAGATTTACAATTTTATTTTCACTTTATATGTAGTTATAAAATGGGCTCAAACAAGTTTTTGACCAACTTATTTATTCTATTAATATTCTTCCTTTCAACTATGATTATAGGTAGTTGATGACTTACAACTACAATTGAGCACAACATTTCCATTGCTAAGTGAGACATTTGTTATGTGAGTTTTGCCCCACTTTACGATCTGGGACAATCTGATCATGGGAATGTTGTAATGGTCCTAAGTGTGAAAATCGGTCATAAGTCAGTTTTTTCAGTGCTGTTGTAATTTCAAAGAGATACTAAATTAAATGTTGTAAGTCAAGGACTACCTGTACTAGATCAACAACTACTAGCTACATTCTAAATTTAGAACTGGCATTTTTCCAGAAGTGAAGTTTTAATTTTAATCTTCACCATCCTGTATCAGTCTAGTCACAACAGTACATTGCCTCTTAACTCAATAATTCCACGAGGCCACTTTTTTTCCTGTCATTTCTTTTCAAATTCATCAAAACAAATCAATGACCAAGTTTAAGCACTGGGTTTATGTCAAAAAAAAAAAATGGCATTATGTAGTCTGAGAGCAATATGCACCCAAGGTCTCCTTTTTATGATTTTTGGACCTATTTCTAATCATAACTGCTAATCACAAAGTTTCCTTCCATCTTTATTTAGGTAAAATTGCAATGTAAGCCTTTAAGCAGACATATATCATCATTAAAAAACAATTTCCACAAGCTTTCCTGCAAAAGCCCAAATTCCCTATTTCCCCACCTTTTCCACAGCCCTTCATCAGCCCCTCCTAAATGTTAAAGGTGGCCCAATCCATCACAAAACATAATCAAAAATAGGCTTGTTAGTTCTGGTAACACAAACCCATAGTTTATAATCCTATGTTGTCACAACTTGTCACAACATTCTAACCTAAGCCACAAGCGCCACATTTTGATTTAGCATGTGAAGCAAGCCTGAACATCGCCTTGATTTGATGAAGCAGAATAATGCCCTGGAATAGCTAAAGAGCATTTAGACTTTAAATGAACGAATAAAAATAGGTTAGAATCGCCTTTCCTAGAATTGCAACACTGAGTTCGCATCATCATTAGCCAGTATATTTCTGTCTAGTGTGCTACGTGAACAAAATTCCCAAACTTAGTTTTATCGTTTTCTGTGCCGAAGGAAACCTGACAAGAGCTGGGGGGAAAAACTACGATGAAATTAATCTTGGGCAAGTTGTTCGTTGTGGAATACCGTCAGCGAAATAAGAGACCCTCACCTTCGTCAGCTGCTGGTGAATGATTTCCTTCAGTTCCGAGGCTTTTTCTGGCGGCAAAGCCATCTTCCCCAACCGCCGTTACAGACAGCAGAAATCGCGTCAGTTGCCGAGAGAAAAACCCTTCGCCATCTCAGGCAACGCGGCCCCAAACCGCCCGCACCTCCCGCCCTCCCGCTCACTGGCCCGCGAGCGCTTGGCTTCTGCTCCGCGAGCGCCCATTGGCTCAATCGTCAGCCAACCGCGGCCTCTGACGCCCCACTCTTATCTGGGCAGCGGTCTTTCATCCCAACCATCTTTCCAAAGTGCTTTGGCTAAGGTCTGTCCAAAACAGTCGCCTGACAAAAATCGCGGCCTTTTCTGTTCCCACCCTTCTTCCTAATTCCACTCTGGCAAGCAACTCGGTCAAAGAGATGTTTCGAAGTTGTTCTTTCTGCTCCGTTAAGCCGTTTTCAGTAAAGCTATTGCTACAAAGGAGAAAGGCTGACAGGCACCGACCGAACACCTATTTCTATCAAGGACAGTAAGGGGACCTAATTAGGACGTAGAAACCGGCACGCTTTTCTCCCTGGTTTGGATCGCTGCGAGGTGTTTATTTCCTGGCTTCTTTTGTTGTTTGGTCCTTGCCGGGATGTTCGTTTCCTGTGATGGCTGTGAGTGCTCAGATTTCAAAGGCTTCACACTCCTTATGGTAAAATAAGCATTCATTTTCCTGAGTTTTATAGCCAAGTATCTATCTGGTCGTTGTCGGGCAACCAGAGAGCTGCGCACAGAAACGAGAGTGGCGCGTTTTTTTAACTCTGACCTCTTCAAGGGTCCGCTTGGTGAAGTTTTAGAGCAGGGTTGGGAAACTATGGCCCTTTTACGACTTGTGGACTTCAACTCCCAGAATTCCTGGGCCAGCCATGCTGTCTCAGGAATTCTGGGAGTTGAAGTCCACAACTAAAGGGGCTACGTTAATTCCCCACCTCTGTTTTAGAGGCATGTCGAAATCCTTGGGGTACGCTTGGAATTCGTGGTCCTTTCTTTCTCCATGTCTTTTTCTTTTTTACTCATTGTGATAAAAAAGACACTATGGCTCACGACATGATCATTCCAGTTTTATAAAATAAATATCATTGGAAAACAATTCTACTTTGATTTTTTTTTTTAAAAAGGAGTAGAAGCATTCTTTCAAACAAACAAAGACAATCTAGGTTTAGGACTAGATGTAGGACAATCTAGTCACTGGGATTTTTGCAGCCCAGAATGTAGTACAGCCCAGATTTTTGTAGTCCGTAAGTAGTCCTTGATTTATGACCACTCACTTATTGCCTGTTTAAAGTGATGACAGACGCACAAAAAGGTACTTAAGATCTGGATTTGAAGTTCTAATGGCTAGGCCCTTTCTGAAGTCATGTGATTGCCTTTTGGATGCTCAGCTACTGGCCTGCATTTATGGCTGTTTGCAGCATCCTGCAGTCACATAACACAATTTATGGAGTTTTTTTCCCCAAAATCAATGTTTAATTCTGGCTCCATCAAAATACAAGTTGGTCATATGCATGCCTTGACTTAGGGGTCATGACATAAAATGGAAATTTCAGACTCCATTACAGTTGTAAGTGGAGAACTACCTGTAGTAGTACCTGAAGCTTCTGGTCTCAAGGAAACCAAATGTACTAATAGATTATTCATATGGTTCAGCAATGTTCTTGTATTAGGATTTTTTTATCAATTAACCATTGTAATGTGTTAAAAACCCAGTGTGCTATTGAGACCTTCTGAAATTGCCTGAAACTTTTGATGTATATGAGTTCAACAGTTTCTTGCTCAGTGGTTCTCTTAAAATCCCTTTTCCCTGAACAGTCACTTTAAGGTCTGCTGTGAGGGTCCCAGATTAGAGTTTGTTTACAATTTCTCTTGTTTTGACATTATTTTTGTATCTTAATTATGTACATTTTGGCAAATTTACATATAATCCACTTTTAAGTAATCACATTTTGTGTCACCACCCCCCCCATATAAAATTAAATAGAAGTACAATATAATGGACATGTAATTTTCTAGTTAAAAAGTACTATTCAATTATTCATAAGGTAACTATTTGAGCTTTGTTTTAATGCAGTAGATAAATACAAAAGTATATAATCAATATGTTTGCAATTGATCAAGACATCAAGTGAATATATAAATACAGAATGTCTTTCAATTAATTTAAACAATATTGTAATTTAATCTTATGGTTTTACAATACAAAATAGATACATAGTTAATTTGATATGTTTTTCCAGCAAATTAGAAATAGAATTAGTATTTGAGATGATATAACTTAAAGTTGTCTTTTGTCTAATTTTAGCCAGCTGTATCAGTGGGCAATGTGGGCCAGCTAGCTATAGATTTAGTCATTTCTACACTTCATATGCCCAGAGTTGGTTACTTTTATACTGATTGTCTTGTGCCAATGGTTGGAAATAATCCATATGCAACAACTGAAGAAGATGCAACAGAACTATGCATAAATGCTGAAGGTAGGTGGTGTAAATATAGTCTTTCCATCCACTAAATTGGGAATAGATTGGGTGCTTCAGACGTGTGTGTGTGATATGATTTATTTAAAGATGCTTTTGCAGAGCAGTTGGATCCCCCAAAAGATACTTACAAGTCAGTTTTGAAGTACTATTATTGCCCACTTCCTGTGTTATGAGACCCCATTTTGGGCACTCGACAGCTGGTCCACATTTATGGCCATTTGCTGCACCCTGCAGTCATATGACTGCTACTTATGATGATTTTGCCAGAAACCAGGGTTTACTTTCAGTTGCTGCAAAAAAATGGGCCATTGAGAACAATGGATTTGCTTAACACTGCTGGGTTTGCTTTACCCCAAAAAAGCAGGGTCAGTCTTATGATGACCCACTTTGCGACCATCATGACTTACCGCTGTAATTTCCAGGATCAGTTATGGTCATACCTTGAGGACTACCTTGTATTTTCATTACAGATGAAACCTTAATCAGTTAGTAACCAAAATGATTGATGCCAATGATCCTGAAGTTTAAAATCATTATGAGATATCAGAAAGATTGAAAACTGGGAACATATAAATGATGGGTGTTTATAAAATGTTTTCTCTCTCTTTTTTTTTAAGGGATGCACTCTTGTTCTAAATCTTTTGTGTTAGGTTTTGTCAAAATGCAACAGAGGCATGATTGCAGAGCCCCTCTTAAATTTCCTGGCATTAACTGTAATATGATTGGTTACTGGTAATTTAATGTTAATGCTAACATGTTGCTTATACTATTTTTTTCAGTGTATGCAGCTACATCAAAAGAATTGGTGGTTCTACAGATCAGATCACCATTCATAAAGGTATGTATGCCTATGTATGATTATGGAAGGTTGTCACATAAGATGGCATGTGTATGGCATAAGCATAAAGAAAGGCACAGAAATATAAAGGAGTAGACAATCCAAAGTTGCCTGATCACCTTGGAGAGAGAGGAGATAGATAACAGAAACCAGACTGTTATCTTTCTTTTGATAAGAAGGGAGGTATTGTTTTTATAATACATGAGGTTAGTTTTTCTAATTTGGCAGATTAGAGTCCCATCAGTAGAGAAGAAGGTAGAAGTGCTGGGATAGTCAAAATAGAGTCATCCCGTAGTGTTATCAGAAGTAACATTCTACTTATAAAGGTCACTGTATGATTTACAATGGTTTGTTTATGATTCCTATGCAATTATTCTGGGAGTGTATTGCTCATAACTTTACTTAGTTTGAGGCTCTTTTGCATTCATTTGGATGGGAATCAAATGATCCCTGCACGCCAACAAAAGATACCTTGTGCATCCAAATGCTATGGATTTCTCCTTTAATTGGGCATTTGCCCCACAACAGAGACACAAATTAAAAGATAAATCTTCCTGTCAAAATTGAATAATCATGATTATCTTACAAATAATTTTGACGAAGATTTTGGTAATGCAGCTTTATGAAAATATTGTTCACTCAGTGGTTTTAACTCTTTAAATTATTTTGATAAGACTGAAAAATAACTGGATCAGTCAAATCGTTTTTATTTTTCATTGGCAATAATTAAGATTTTTTTCTGCATAACTATACAAATTCCAGAGTGTTAAAACTACAGATGAATTGACAAGATTCAAAAATGCAAAGTTCTAACCTATTGCCTTGCTTTGCTTCCTGGTGTAATAAAAGAATAAATATAGATTGTTTTGTCAAATATTGCTGTCGTGGGTGAAAAACTCTGGATTTTCCAAAATTGTTCTGTTGTCAAGCAGTCATGCTTATCAGCGCAATGACCAACAGCTTCATGGGTAAGTCTTACAGATTATGTAATTGTATGCATAAGGCCAATTGAGCATTATACCAAGAGACATGTACTTTCCAAATAGAAGTTTCATCTCTTTCTGGCAACTCTCCTCATTCCTTCCAAATCTGCCTAGTGAGTTCCTCACATTTCCAGGATGAATCTGGTGCTGTAAGGAAGAAGGTAGAGAGAAGTAGAACTATCCATAGTAAAGTATATTCTGCTAGCTGAAAAGTACCATTTAATAAGTTCCAAATTTGTGCAGTCAAGCCACAGTTTTAGTTTGTAATTACTTTTCTGGGCTGATATTATCCAAATCGATGAATTATTAGGAGAAACAAAAAGTCTGGATTTTTTTAAGCTCATATCTCTAGAGACTAGGTAGTTTTATACATATATAATATATATTTTAATTAATAATTATTGGTTGAGTCTACAATGTCCAGTTTATTAATTAGGAACTTAAGATTCAGCAGCAAAATAGTACTTTGGAGTGTATGGGTGTGCTCATGTCATGCCTGCCTGCTTCTGTTTGAAATATCTGGTCTTTTCATGAGATTAAATAGCTATCCTTTGCAGCTGTAGTATGATCTGAGAAAAACATGTTTAGTTTATGGAGTTGTTAGTTATATATTGGTTGTTATGCAAGTTCAAGACAGTCTCTGTGTACTAATGAAATGGATGAGAGTCATTAAGGGGCATAAAATGGAAGCACTGTGAATAAACATTTTTCTTGTCCAAGAATTATTGCTTTGAATAAGAGAGAGAATGTACAAGGCACTTTGCGGCCACAATTGCATTTTTCTAGTTTTCTGGCTGAAACCACTTTTGGACAGAGTAACCTGGTCACAATGATCCATTCATTAGCAATCTCAAGGACTTACTGTATTTTTCGGTGTATAAGATGCACTTTCCTCCCCTCAAAAAGTGGGTGGAAAGGTCTGTGCGTCTTATACAGGGAATGTTGCTGAAGCCCCGCCCACCCACTGGCTCCCACTCTTCGGCCTCTGCCTCCCAGCAATTTACCTCCTTGCAGCAAACAGCAAACAGCCTGGTCAGCTTCAACACAGCCTGATATAGCACAAGCAGCTGATTGGTGGTTGGATCGGCCTCCTGGAATACCACCTATCAACTGTTCCAGGCTGCAGGGATTGCCACTCCCGTCGCTGCCATCGCTGCCCATCGCTGCTGCCACCTATCGCCTCCTCTGTGCGCCACCTTTTCAGCCTCTGTGTGTCCCATTTTCAGCCTCCATGTGCCCCATTTTTGGCCTCTGCACGTCCTGTTTTTGGCCCGTTCCAGGCGGTAAGGATAGGTGGCGGCAGGGATGCCTGCTGCCTGGAACGGGCCAAAAACGGGACACACGGACACCGAAAATTGGGTGTGCAGAGGCCTCAAACGGGACGCATGGAGGCAAAAAATAGGGCATGCGGAGGTGGCGATAGGCGGCAGCAGTGATGGGCGGTGAAAGCGGCAACGAGTGGTGGTGATCCCTGCAGCCTGGAACAGCTGATAGGTGGTTTTCCAGGAGGCTGATCCCAACCACCAATCAGCTGCTTGTGCTGAAGCTAACCAGGCTGTTTGCTGTTTGCTGTTTGCTGCAAGGACGTAAATTGCTGGGAGGCAGAGGCAGATTTTTTCCCCCTTGATTTCCTCCCCAAAATCTAAGTGCGCCTTATAGTCTGGAGCATTTTATAGTCTGAAAAATATGGTACTTTATGAACTATAATTTAACTTATATTTTAACTTTCTATAAATATTTTAAAAGATGCTTTTCCCATTTGGGTTTTTTAAAAGTGAACTGAAAATAATGAATTAAACAAATTGTTGACCATTTATTAGCTATTTCTGCTAGATTTTAACTGGTTCTTTCAAAAGGTCATAGTTCTGATTTTTGCAGCTAAACTTAAATTTTATGGTTTGTTGACAGCACTTCATTGCGATACTTGATTTCACCTGCTGTTGACAAAACAGTGGGAGATATTTTGAAAAGACTGAGAGCCATTGAATTGGAGCAGATATCAGCATTTCCTGGAGCAAACGATGATAAAATATTCTATATTCCAGGAGGTGGTATTACAAAACTATTATTCACAGAGAGGTTGGTGAGATAGTAAAATTTGAATATTGAAAAATAACATTATATTTGAAATCTTTTTTTTTAATAGGAGGTAATCAATGAATCATTGCTTGGATAAAAAAAAATCATAAAATTAAGCCTGAATGTCATGGATTAGTGTTATTTCTCAATAATATTTTTTTCCCATTCGTGTCTAATTCTTGGACACTGCCGGGAAAACTCCCTGCAGTTTTCTTGGCAAGGATTTTTAGAAGTGATTTGCCAATGCCTCCTTCCTAGGACTGAGACAATGTGATAGACCCAAGGTCATACAACTGGCTTTGTGCTCAAGGCAGGGTTAGAATACCTGGTCTCTTTCTATTGTGATGCTTTAACTATGGTAGTATACCCAACTGGCTCTCATTTCTCCAATAATGGTGTTCTAATTGCATGCAATTGTTTTCTGAAATACAGGAAAATTTCTGACCCAATTTATGAACTGGAAGTAATACAGCAGGTGCAATTTAAATTTTCCCTGGTCCCTGCTAAACTTTTAGCCATAATTAAAATAGTTCTTTAGATTTTAGTCTTAGATTCAAAAGTAAATGTTTTTTGTGTGCTCCTAATCTGTTAGTTTTCTTTAAAATGCCAGTTTTGTACACAATAACAGTTGGTTTCTTTCTGATTTTGATAAAACCTATTTCTAAGACAATTATTATGTCTTATTATGAGTTAATTAGAACTTTGATATCAAGCCTCTGTTACAACTTCACAAAATGGGCATTTATAAGACTTGATGTTCAATTTTTGAGTGGTTGAAAAGAAATAACTGACTTTTCTCAGGCTTCATGAATACTTCCCTTTCTTTTTAAAGTAGTTGTATCTTAGTGCTAAATCAAAAGTGTAGGAAACAATAGAATAAAATATAAGCATATATTTTTATAATTAATGAATATCACCAATTAAAATGTAACTGTGACTAAAATGTTTAGTCACACCAACAGATGTTTCTTTCAATCCTTTAAATTTACTGAAACAGTATGTATGTACATGACAATATCACTGTTAGAAAGCCCAGGAAAAACCATTAATACTTTGTTGAATTATCACACAATTTTCTGAATGATAGAGGCTTGCTTTGCTTTGTTCATGTGACTACTTGTATATAAAACTTACACAATGTGTGATATGTTGGTGCTAAGAAAAGCAAAGATGGATTAATTTAACAGTCCTGTTTTCTTTTGGGATAAAACCATTCTTTAAATATATAATGTATCCTGTTCCTCTTGTATTCACAATTCACAGCATAATTTACACCAGAGATGAAGAGTTTGCTGAATTTCTCATCCCCTTCCTCATTTTATTTTTATTCCAGTTGTTCAAAAGGAATTCCACTGGTGGTTTTGCTGAAATTCTGCTCTGAAGGAGATAATATTCCTGATGCTTTTGCCCTTGCTGATTACCTTAATGAAACTTTACCACTAATTGCACCTCAGGTAAGTATGTGTTCCACTACTTTGATTTGGGGAGTTAAGGAAAACTTCAGAAAACTACATAAAATTGATTATGGGCCCAGAATTTAGTTGAAAGTGTACATATTTTTATTTTAAAACACCAGTTTTGTGACCTTTGATAGTTTATTGAAATAAAAACATATACACCACTATTTAAATAAATATATATTTTAGCCGGTCGATTGAGAGCTTTTCGGGCTCTCTAAGGTGCCGATAACAGCGTGGCACCGACGTTCCGACGCTCCGATGAACAGCTGTTCCGAGGCCGCCATGAGAAGGGCGGCGTTTGTGATCCATGGGCGGTGGCGGCAGCGGCGGCGACGGAGGAACAGAAACGGCCAGCCTTCGGCTATGTTTGGATGGTTGGTGCGACGGCTGCGGTGGGGGCGCTGGCGTCGTCGCGGACTGCACCCCCCCCCGCGTCAGAGTAGTGGAGGTAGACGCCGGGGGGAAGGAAGTGGACGTCGAAGGAGGTGAGGGTGAATGGAAGATGTTGGTGGTGCCCGCGAGGATGCCAGTGCCTCCGCCGACGCCGTTGTAGCAGCCATTGGGACGGCTGGAGTCGTGTAGCCGAAGAAGAACGCGAGGGGGGAGCCTCCATCTCTGAATTTTAAACCTTGGCAACTTCGGGCCGCCATGGGGCTGGGGTAATTCCCAAACTTTATCTCCCATGGTGAGGCCTCCTTCATAACCATCTCGGGGGGCTAGGACTGGGCATATAGGATGGTTGGAAGACCTGGAAGACTCGAGGGGGGGGGGTTAATGAGGGTGGAGGGGCTGTTGGAGTTACTGCGCAGCCCTGGTTAACCCTCTCCCCCCCTCCCCTCCCGTCCTAGTTGGGCCATTATCAGGCCCTATGATTAACATGCTTGCCCTGCCGGTTTCCGCTCGATGGAGGTGGCTCCCACTTATTTTCCTCTATCTGCTTGCCTGTATTATCCATCTATACGCTACCTGTATGAATATTGTGGACAGCTTACTTTCTTCTGGAGACTTTGGACCTGGCTCTGTTTGTTATCTAGCACGCTGGCTGTATGAAAAATGGCAGCTTACAGGAGGACGAACGGAGCTGGTTTCTATCATTGTTTCACTACCGATGGGATGTACCATCTTCCCCATGGCGAGTTGGCCAACCATCGTGAGAGGCTGGTTGGACGATTACCCTCGAATTGGTTGGAACATTGGACTCCTCCACTGCCGTGAGAGGACAGTGGAGACTCTTCTGCTTATGGTCAACCTGCCCTTTTCAGGACAATTTGGACTATCATGGAGCCCTGGGCCATACCTTATCACTACCTCAGAGCTTAGATGTACCAAAGGGCACAGCTTCTTGCATTGCGAGACTCCCCCCTCTCGCAAGCCTGGCCCTCCACGTTATCGAGGGCCTACCTCAATGACGGGTCTTGGAACCCAGAGAGGTGGCATGCGGCGAAGAGGGGGTTGAGGGGTTTTTTATGTAAATTTTTGGAAAAAATTTTAAGGGGTCCCGGGGGGGGGGAGGCAAAATTGGAACTAGGGTAGTGGGTTTGGGGGATAACCCACCAAGGGGAAGGTCAGGCCTGGCCACTATACGCGGCGGGGGGGGGGGGGGGGTGGCGGGGGGAGGGGGGGGGGGTCGAGCTTGTCCAGATTGTGTTTTTACCATCGGTACTGTGAGGGGGAGGGGTAGATATGGCGGGAGCAGGGGGCCATATCATGTTAAGGGAGCGCGCACCCGCTGTCTCCATGCGGTAGCGTGCTCCGGCCCCCAAGGCTCCACTCGTTCTCCAGGTTGCACAGACCCTCAGGGCCCGGGCCTTCGGCTGATGTTGTGCAATGCCAGGTCCGCAGTAAATAAAGCCCCCCTCATTTGTGATCTTGTTCAGGAGGGGGGAGCGGACCTGGCAGGTATTACGGAGACCTGGTTGGGCCTGGAGGGAGGGGTCCCTCTGGTAGAAATGTGCCCACCAGGCTTCCACGCATTCCATCAACCGAGGTCTCGGGAGGGGCGGGGGAGTAGCGGTTATTATTAGAGAAGGTTTTAGGCCGAGGGAGGCCACTGTTCCTCAGACGGCCGGTTGTGAGACCCTCCTTGTGAAGTGGGGTCATGGGGTTCAGATGGGTTTGCTGATCACGTACCTGGCTCCCTGCCACGTGGCAGCAGCCCTGCCCGAGCTACTCAACGTTATCGCCGCGGTGGCGGTTGATACCCCCAGACTTATGGTCATGGGGGATTTCAACCTGCCGTCCGTGGGTGAGACGTCTGAGGTGGCTCGGGAGTTCATGGCTTCCATGACGGCTATGGATCTGACCCAGCTAATTCATGGCCCTACGCACATGGGGGGAAACACACTGGACCTGATTTTTGTCTCTGGACAGTGGCTGAGTGATCTCGAGATAGGGGACATAGTCATCGAGCCCTTGTCATGGTCGGATCACTCTCTCCTTCGCCTTGATCTTCGAACCGCTGCCCCCCGCCGCAGGGAGGCGGAACCGATAAGATGGTACCGCCCCAGGCGCCTGATGGAACCTGATAGGTTCCAGACGGAGCTTGGGCCAATGCCTGAGGTCCTGGCTCACGCCTCGACTGGAGACTTAGTGGCCGCCTGGGATAGGGCGGCCGCTGGAGCTCTGGATCGAGTCGTGCCTTTGCGGCCTCTGACCCGGCGCCGATCTCACCTGGCTCCTTGGTTTACTGAGGAGCTGAGGGAGATGAAGCGCTGGAAAAGACGCCTAGAGAGTAGTTGGAGGGCCAGTCGCACTGAATCTGACCGGACACTGGTAAGATCTCATATTAAGAATTACCTAGTGGCGATAAAAGCAGCGAAATGTACTCATCTTGCTGCTCTTATTGCGTCATCAGATAACCGCCCGGCCGCCCTGTTTAGGGTGACCCGCTCCCTGCTCCACCAGGAAGCGAGGGAGGACCCCTTGGAGGGAAGAGCCGAGGACTTTGTTCAGTATCTGTATGACAAAATCACTCAGATTCGGGAAGATCTGGACTCTGACTGGGTAGATCCAGTGAGGATGACGGAGGCAGGTCCTGAGAATGTTATCTGGGATGAGTTTGACTCTGTGACCCCTGAGGACGTGGACAGGATTCTGGGTAGACTGAATGCGACCACATGTTTGTTGGACCCGTGCCCCTCCTGGTTAGTGCTGGCTTCCCGGGAGGTGACGCGAGGCTGGCTCCAGGGGATTATAAATGCTTCATTGAGTGAGGGTGTCTTTCCCGCCGCCTTGAAAGAGGCGGTGGTGAGACCTCTCCTCAAGAAGCCTTCCCTGGACCCGGCAATATTGGCTAATTATCGTCCAGTCTCCAACCTTCGCTTTGTTGCGAAGGTTGTTGAGAGTGTGGTGGCACGACAGTTTCCCCGGTACCTGGATGAAACGACGTATCTAGATCCGTTCCAGTCGGGCTTCAGGCCTGGGTACAGCACGGAAACGGCATTGGTCGCATTGGTGGATGATCTCTGGAGGGCTCGGGACAGAGGTTGTTCCTCTATCCTGGTCCTATTAGATCTCTCAGCGGCTTTTGATACCATCGACCATGGTATCATGCTGTACCGGTTGGAAGGGTTGGGGGTGGGAGGCACCGTATTACGGTGGTTCTCCTCCTTTCTCTCCGACCGGTCGCAGTCTGTGTTGACAGGGGGGCAGAGGTCGACCCCGAGGCCCCTTATATGTGGGGTGCCACAAGGATCGGTCCTCTCGCCCCTTTTGTTCAACATTTATGTGAAGCCGTTGGGCGAGATCATCCGTGGTTTCGGGGTGGAGTACCATCAGTACGCTGACGACACCCAGCTGTACATCTCCACCCCAGACCACCCCAACGATGCCCTTGAAGTGATGTCCCGGTGCCTGGAGGCCGTACGGATCTGGATGGGGAGAAACAGGCTCAGACTCAACCCATCCAAGACCGAGTGGCTGTGGTTTCCGACGTCCCGATATAGTCAGCTGGTGCCATCGCTGACTATTGGGGGCGAAGCATTGGCCCCCACGGAGAGGGCTCGCAACTTGGGTGTCCTCCTGGATTCACGGCTGTCTTTAGAAGAGCACTTGACGGCCGTGACCGGGAGGATTTTTCATCAGGTTCGCCTGATCCGCCAGTTGCATCCCTTTCTGGATCGGGACTCGTTACGCACGGTCACTCATGCCCTCGACACCTCCCGTCTGGACTATTGTAACGCTCTCTACATGGGGCTCCCCTTGAGGAGCACTCGGAGGCTCCAACTGGCGCAGAGTGCGGCCGCGCGGGTGGTGATGGGAGCGACGTGGCGCTCCCATGTAACGCCTCTCCTGCGCGAGCTGCACTGGCTCCTGGTGGTCTTCCAAGTGCGCTTCAAGGTTTTGGTCATCACCTTTAGAGCGCTCCATGGCTTAGGACCTGGTTATCTACGGGACCGCCTGCTACCACCAATAGCCTCCCACCGACCAGTACGCTCCCATAGAGAGGGGCTCCTCCGGGTGCCGTCGGCCAAACAATGTCGACTGGCGGCCCCCAGGGGGAGAGCCTTCTCTGTGGGGGCACCTACTATCTGGAACGAGCTCCCCCCCGAGATACGGAGGATTCCGGATCTGTGTACCTTCCGTCGCACGCTTAAGACGTTCCTATTCCAGCAAGCTGGCCTGACCTAAACTTCTCTTTTAAACGGGAATTTTAAATTTGGTTTTAAATTATTGGGGTTTTAAATATGGTTCAGCCAAATTTATTTAACTTGTTTTATCTCTATTTTAAATTTTGTATTTATATGTTTTATTTCATGGCTGTTCACCGCCCTGAGTCCTTCGGGAGTAGGGCGGTATACAAATTTAATAAAATGAAAATGAAATATATACTATTTAAATTTAAATTAATTCAAATTAAAATGATATCCCAATAATAGTTAATATTTCAATGATTCTGTGTTAATTTATTAGTTAAAATATATCTTAAGAAAGCTTTATTGTAACCTATATTTGGGAAACCAGGAGGATTACAGCAAGGTGAACTTCCTATAGAAAGCTATTCCATAAAACAAATATTTCAGTAGAAAAGTATTTCCTTCTAGTGTTGCCTGTTCCTCCATGTCCCAGTTTTACAGTAATGAAGGATTATTGTAAGTTTTCTGTGGTTCCTGCGGATGGGTAAATTTTGAATGAAGGATAGAATTACGAAAGTGTATAGTATAGAATAAACTGCAACTGCAGATTAACAGAGATTTTAGTAGAAAAGCTCAAAACTACCATTGTGTCATAATGATCTCAAATTTTGCAGAATTATTCAGAATAATTCAAAAACAGTTTGGTAAACTACAGATAGTCCTCATGTAATGACTAGAATTTGGGACTGACAATTCTGACCCTAAGCGACATCACTAAGTGGGAAATCACATGAACACAAACTATATTTTCTGCCTGGAAAGAGACAAAACAACTTAGTTTCATATCTTTGGCTTCTCTCCTAGCCAATTACATTTTGTACTGTAAGTTGTGCTGTAAGTTTGAGCAGCTGCTGAACAAATGGTTGGTAAATAATAATAATAATAATAATAATAATAATAATAATAATAATAATAATAATAATTTATTTATTTATTTTGTATACCGCCCTTCTCCCGAAGGACTCGGGGCGGTGAACAGCCAGCAGATAAAATACAGAAAATACAAAAATTAAAACAATATTAAAAACCAATTAATTTAATTTGGCCCACAGCTAAAACATCCCCATATTAAAAAATCCATAATTTAGCAATTTAAAATTAAAGCAACTTAAAAAATATGGTCAGGTTAGCCCAGCTTGTTGAAACAAAAACGTCTTTAAGGCACGGCGGAAAGTGCGCAGATCCGGGATCCACCGTATCTCTGGGGGCAACTCGTTACAGAGGGTCGGTGCCCCCACAGAGAAGGCTCTCCCCCTGGGGGCCGCCAGCCGACATTGTTTGGCCGACAGAACCCTGAGGAGCCCCTCTCTGTGTGAGCGTACTCGTCGGTGGGAGGCTACTGGCGGCAGAAGGGGATCTCGTAAATACCCGGGCCCTAAGCCATGGAGCGCTCTAAAGATGGTAACCAATACCTTGAAGCGCACCCGGAAGACTATTGGGAGCCAGTGCAGCTCGTGCAGAAGAGGTGTTACATGGGAGCGCCGAGTCGCCCCCATCACCCGCGTGGCCGCATTCTGGACCAGTTGGAGCCTCTGGGTGTTCAAGGGGAGCCCCATGTAGAGAGCATTACAGTAGTCCAAGCGGAACGTGACAAGGGCATGAGTGACCGTGCGTAAGGAATCCCGATCCAGAAAGGGACGCAACTGGTGGATCAGGCGAACCTGATAAAAAGCTCCCCGGCCACAGCTGTCATATGCTCTTCCAAAGACAGCCGTGTATCCAGAAGGAGTTGCGAGCCCTTTCTGTGGGGGCCAACGACTCGCCCCCAAAAGTCAGCGATGATACCAACTGACTATATCGGGATGCCGGAAGTCACAGCCACTCAGTCTTGGACAGGTTGAGCCTGAGCCTGTTTCTCCCCATCCAGATCCGCACTGCCTCCAGGCACCGGGATATCACATCAAGGGCATCATTGGGTTGGTCCGGGACCACCCCAATGAGGACTATCTGTAGTCAATACCTTTTGATCCACTAGGCCACTCTAATAACTGTAACTGCCAGTTACCGAATGCTAGGTTTTAAATGTCAGGCCCAAAACCAGAAATGACATGTGGCAGTTTTTCCAAGGTGACTTCTGTAATGTTTCACAGCTATAGACAAAATTTTGCCAGATGAAAACACGATCTGTAATCTACAATCTATTTTGCAAGCTGTTAGGCAGGTCCTATGTTCACTCGCTTTTTCTCATACACTTTATGGGATGAATTGCTTCTTAGTCCCCTGAAATGCACCCTCTCTTTCCTGGGGATCCATCTCATTACATTTCATCACAAATATTTAGGTTAATGAATTATACTGCTAGAAATAATTTGCTTTTTTTTTTTTTTTTAATCAAAGAGTACCACTTCTCAAGCAAAATCTTCACGATGGAAAATACCAAGCTCCTGGAAACTACTTTTTGGTAGTGGACTCCCATCTTCATTGTTTTAAATCATAGTTTTTCACGTGGTCCATTTGTATATAATCCAAGTTGTGTTTTGCATCTACAGGCCAATGTAATCTTGTATGCAATTAATGATCACTTTTCATGGATTATTTAATTTACCGGAGCAAATTTATTGTATCAAAACTGGGTAAATTTGGACATAAAATATATCCTTGGCATACTTTTGGTTCAAATATCAAAATGTTCCATGCTTCTTTTCATTATTCATATTTAATTTCGTCTTAAGAGTAATAAAGGAAAGCTGAGATGTTCAACATGTATATCACTCCCATTTTTTGGTCACATTTAGATACATGTAACATTTGGACAAGAGGCATTATAGGTTATGTGGTGATCTTATATATTCAGAAAATTGTGTACAAAATGAAGCAGTTTTTAGAAAATCATGGGTATTATATTTGACTCAAGTCGAAACTTAGCTTTGTTAAAACAGGAATTTGAGGCATATAAAAGTATGTGTTCATATTACAGGTATAGGGATGGTTTCGTTGTAAAATTGGAAAATGTGGTTTAGGGTTTTAAAGGGTTGCTTTTTTAATTTCTTTGTAGCTTTAATACTTGAAATTTAAGTACCCAAATTGCTGGACTTATATAAAGTAGTAGTTAAAAGGAAAGCAATGTTTTCAAATGAGTTGTTAGTATTTGGCAAATGTATTTCTAAGCTGGTTAAAACAATTCTGTCACTAAAGAAGAAACTGATATTGGAATGTCCCAAATGCAAAAGAACCTTTGACTTGTACCTTTTTTTAAAAAAATTCTGTGTTGAATTTGTTTAAACAAAAAAGTATTTCTCCTTATGAGCAATAGAATTCATTCACGCAAGTTCCAGCATTGTTCCAACTTTCACTTACTTCTCTAAAAATACGGTAAGTCTAATTCATCAACACTGCCATGGCTGAACATAGTAAATTTTAATCCAGATTCTTTAAATTTTTCAATTATTTATATTTCCTGTTTTTAAACCGCTCAACTTCCTCAGAGATGTGTGAGAGTGGATTTGTATCAGTGAGATAATTATTTTCTTTTAAATACAAATTGATGGGAAAATGAACTTTTGAAAATACTCTGGACAGACCCTCTTTCCCCATTGAATCTTTTAATCTAAAATGTGTACCGTATTTTCCGGCATATAAGACGACTGGGCGTATAAGACGACCCCCGAATTTTCCTGCTAAAATCTAGGGTTTGGGCTATACTCGCCGTATAAGACTACCCCTCTTCCAACGCACACCAAATAAAAATTAAAAAACATCAACTGGCTCACCCACAATGTAAAAGCAGCTGTGCTAGACCCAAAATGGCCCCTGCAACAAGCAGGAACCTCACACAGCCACAAAAAGCCCAAAAAAACAACTTTCACACTTTACACACACAAAATTCCACATACAGCTTTGTGAGATTTACTGGTATGTTTAAATGACAAAATCTGTCTTGGTAGTATTGGATATACCGTATTTTCCGGCGTATAAGACGACTTTTTAACACGTGAAAATCTCAGAAGTCAGGGGTCGTCTTATACGCCGGGTGTCGTTCTCCTGTAACCAGGCAGATCAGCCCGAAAGGCTCTGACGAGCTTTAAATGGCTCTGGCGATCCAAGCTCTGACGATCTGCTAATCAGGCAACTCAGCTGGGATCGCCAGAGCCATGGAGAAGGAAAAAAGTTTTCCCCCTCCAGCTGGCTTACCTTAGCTGCTTGCCTTGCTTCGCTTGCCTGAATCCATTCCATCAGCAAGCAACTCCCTGCCTGCAATTAAGCAGGCAGGGAGTTGTGGACTTCAACTCCCAGAATTCCTCAGCCAGCAAAACAAAGCTGGCTGAGGAATTCTGGGAGTTGAAGTCTTAAAGTTGCCACGGTTGGAGACCCTTGTTCTATTGGGTAAGTTTTTTTCCCCTTTGGGATCTTTAAAAAAAAAGTTAATTGGGGTTTTTTAAAGTTCTTTTTTAGACCTAGCCATTTAAAGTTTAGGAAGTTTAAAATTTAGCTTTAATATAAAAATAAAAATAAAATAAAATAAAATAATATTTGTGCAGCTTTCTGAGATTTAGTGTGTTTTTGTAGTGTTTCACTCTAACTACACAAACACACAAATTCTCTATTTGTAATAAATTTGATAATGTGTTATGTTCTCACTGAAAATAGAACAGAATAAAACACAAATAATAATTTAGAAATATTGTAGCTTAAATTGAGAGTATTAATAGATTAAAATAGCATTTCTCAGAGCATTGCCAGTATAATCTTTCTGAACTAGAAAAAATATACACACAACAGCATATAAATTAAAAAAAATATTTAATGCTGCCAAAAATATAAAAAAATACAAGAATGGCAGTACAAAGTATTTTGTGAATGTGATCTTACAACTCTCTACAGTTAATACAAGCATAAAACACGTAAGACAAATTCTCTTTTGCAAAGTCTCTTGCTGGTGATGTACTTCATTCCCTGTTTGTTTACGCTGTAAACAGATATTTATGAGGCCACTTGTGTATTGCTCAGACCTCATTTTTGTTTCCTGAAGAACAGTGATGTCCTGTTTTTGCATGTCAATAGTGTGTTATTATAGCTGAAGAACATTCTCAAGTCTTGGCAATTTAGGCGTCAGTCACTCTCGGCCTATAAACACATAATGTAAAAGAGTCACAAGTTCAGTACAGTCAGGAGTATAATTTTAGGGTTTTATAACTGCAGTGCAAATATATTAGTAGCTTAAAACCAAAGATGAATTTATTAATGGATACTGCAGCTTGGATATAGACATACATGTGTGAGTATCTTGCTATAACAAAGTGTTCTTGAACTAATAGTTATAAAATTACAGAAAATCCATATTGCTATTGAATTGGTATAAGAAACAGTTCATTATCTGTTCCCTTTGAAATGAGCCACAAGTAAACTTTTTAAAATGTAGGCTATGCAGTAGTAGTATAGCAAGTATCTTAGCATTAGCTATCACATTTTAGAAAAAAAATCTAAAGAAAAACCTGCTGAATGTTATATAACATTAAAGGGCAAGAAGCAATATAAGAAATCAATATAATGACGATTACTGTTATAGAACTGAAAGAAACTAAAAATAGGAAGGTATTTTTAAAATGTTTAATAACTGCAATTAATTGAATCAATATATTAACAAGAATATATATTGATCAAGCATGTTTTCAAAAATGTATGTATTTATATTCATGAAAATAATGCAACAACTATTTCTTGGAAACTCTTAGAATTAAAGTATCCAGCTGCCTTATACTTTGTGTTTATGATTGGTATGATGTGGATTAATGAACCTGGACAAAAATAGACAATGTATATTCTCTATCAAATGTAGCCAAATGCTTACCAGAGGGAGCACTAAAACGTTAAAAGCTGAACAGAAAAATGCAGGGCTATAGTGCAGTAGAAGAATTCTTGTTTCTATCTTTGTAACTCCCAGGTATGGAAGGGAAACACTTCCAAAATCTTAGAAAGCTGCTGCCAATCACACAGTACACAATGTAAAGCAAGTCTATATTATTTATTTGGGGTAGAAATAGAACAGAATGCCTCAGCTGATTATCTTTGTGTATAGATGTACACCTAAAACAAAGCCTAGAAACTGTTTAATCTCAGAGGGAACATTTCCTTTTACTGTGCTTTGTTTCCTATGTAATAGATATGTAAAAGTGTGTGTGTGTGTTTGTATGTATGTATGTATGTGTGTATGTAACAACAGTTCTGCATCAATGCATGAAAATATTTTTTTAACAATTCTACCATACTTTGGTTTCAGCATCATGCACACATTTTCAAAATGGCAGCATATCTGATAACTACAGCATAAAATGGAAGAGTTGAGGCCAGGTGTGATTGAGTGCTCTTCAGTTAAAATACACTTTTTATTATCTTTCAAATTATAAATTGTAGGCTAGAAAGGATGAAATAAATGGCAGTTTTATTTCCTAGTATTTATTTCTTTTATGCAATAAAGGGCATGAGGAACTTAGCATTAAATATTTCAGTGCTTTCAAAACATGGGGTGCTATTTTTTCAAGAGCAGAATTTATAAGAAACTTAGAACATATATACCAACACTAGACTCTGTAAATTGTAATATTTAGCCATAAATTAATTATTGTTGGTTAAACCGAGAAGGTATTCTCACTGGCAACATGGTGTTTTCTTGGGGGAAGATTCCCCAGCAACTCTGAAGAGCTTGCAGGATATGAGAGCAAAAGAACATCCAGTTGCCCCAAACATACCAGCCACCTAACATATGCTGTGGCCCAGAAGTTTGTATTTTCATAGGGATCATATTGATCCATCCACTTTATAAAGTGATCTTTTGGAACATTTAAAGATGGTTAAAAATATTTTTATCAGGTCAGTCAGTTTAATTGTTTTAAGTTAGAGAATCTGAGATGGGGCTCATAAGATACTCATAAATATGGGTGCTATAAATGGATACCAAATGCTATGGTAATATTGTGTAGCATATGTGCGAGTTGTTTGCCAGAAACACAATTGGTTACTCTTGTTCAAATGTAGTGATGAAATGGAGATTGTTCCTAATATACAGCCTGTGCTATAGCTCAGTGCCAACAGCTTCAGAAATCTTCATTTGCACCCTCTTTCCCTGTTAAATCTGCATTATGGCTATTTGCTTCCATTTGTAATGCCTTTTTATTTTTTGAAATTACTGTCAAATTGGTAATGTGTTGCCTATTCCAATTATAATCAACAAAGAAGCTATAGAAGAATAGGACTCAAATCCAGTAAGACCCACAAAAAAGTTTCACATTTAATGGAATGTGTAAGCTTTAAATACAAGCTATGGCTTCCAACAGTAGCTGCAGTTTTAACAAAACATTTCTTCCAAAAAGGCAGCTTGAGACACAAGATCTAATCTCCCAGTAGCCTTATAAAATTAAATATTTCCAAATAAAATAGTAGATAAGAATAAATACATATATGCATCTTACAAGTAAATGAAAACTGAGGAATTATTTGCTAACGTTTAATTTCTGAAACAACAATTTATTAATCATTGCATTGGGAATGGTCCAGAAAGTGAGTTTCCAAGTCAATCTTGAAAAATTGGTGGTAGATTCACCAATCGTTCATTTCTATTGGATAAATTTATACAAATGTAGCTTTTAAAAATACAATTATTTACAAAATGATTATATAGTTATCAAATTCGCTTTATGTCTGCATAGTATAAATGGTTTGTGGTACATTAATAAAGAAATGTAACTTTTTGCATTCAGAATAAC